CTCTGGCAGATTGGGTGGACGAAACCAAGAATGGGTCCAACAGTCAAGAAGGCGGTTTCTGCACGTGCTGTAGATGGAAGCGAGGGGCAAATGGGTCTTGTCAACCTGGGAAGGGAGCTCATCTGGGAGAAGGAAATCTCTTATCTACGAGAAAGAAAACTCCCGCTGCAATGCAGAATATCTTCAGGAAAAGAAAAGGCTAAGGAGGGAGCCCAACACAAATCCGAAGTGGAGTCTCTAACAAGAGTGCCAACTTGAATAGAATATTGGGGGGAGCCAGGAAAGCACCACCCTACATTATCAATTACCAGACACAGTGCATGCACACCATTTGAATGGCAATGCCCACCAATGTGGGAGGTGGGGCTAGCCCCCTCAAACATTTTAGGGGGGGAAGACCTCAGTCCGTAGGAGTTGGCTCCTTTGGTCCCTAAGGTAGTTGGATGGTGCCTTGTGCGCTTCCTTTCAGCAACTCCTGCAGCCAGAAGCCAAACATACTGCTCTGCTTTCCTTCCAACCACATAAGCAGGGCCAAGAGTAGGGTCTTGTCATCTGGGCAGCCCAGGACCTCCAGACACACTGCCCAGGCTTGCGTCCCAGGGAGGTCTCTTGGTGGTGCTGACACAGCAGTTTGACTTCATCCCCGGAGATACACTCCATTGTCTCTTGAGACAGGTGGATGCAGGCTTTATGCATATTATATACTGCAGTATAGGGACGTGGGTGGCGCTGTGGTCTAAACCACAGAGCCTAGGGCTTACTGATCAGAAGGTCAGCGGTTCAAATCCCCGCGACGGGGTGAGCTCCCGTTGCTCGGTCCCTGCTCCTGCCAACCTAGCAGTTCAAAAGCATGTCAAAGGGCAAGTAGATAAATAGGTACGGCTTCGGCGGGAAGGTAAACGCCGTTTCCGTGCCCTGCTCTGGTTCGCCAGAAACGGCTTAGTCATGCTGGCCACATGACCCGGAAGCTGTACGCCGGCTCCCTCGGCCAATAAAGCGAGATGAGCGCCACAACCCCAGAGTCGGCCACGACTGGACCTAATGGTCGGGGGTCCCTTTACCTTTATACTGCAGTATAACCGTTCAGATTACGTTCTGCTCCTAAATCACCTATTTTATTATGAAATGGCTTCTAAGCTGTTATTGCTCAGCCCAAGGGCTACTCACCCAGAGCTCATGCACCCAGCCACTCTGTTTCAGTGGTTTTGTGGCAAAGACTTTAAAGCAGCACAAAGGAGCATTATCATATTTCCATAAGATCTCCCACCTCCCTGAAACAAAAATTGAACACAGGTGGACAAGTTATTTGAATGATTTGTCACAAGTACCAATCATGATTTGGCACATTAAGAACCTTTGCTGAGCTTGTGAGGAACACACTGAATGAGACCTGTTTATCTCACACACAAAGCATTTGAGTCTAGAACACAAAATATGAACACCAGACTTTGCCAGACTGACAGCTAACACTTTCAGCTGCGGCTTGAACCAAGAACCTCCTTGCCTGCTTCCTGGTATCCCTTGCAGTGAGCTACTTTTGGCTTTAGAAGTACAGGCCAAAGGGTGGTATTAGTCTCCACGGACTAAAGAGAAGGAAGCTGCCAGCGGAGGCCATGCCATGGACGGATGTAAGAAAGGAGGCAGGTGGCAGCCAGCTGAGGCTGGTCAGACAGTGACCCAGTGACCCATTTGCCCTAAGCAACCAGTCTTCATGGCAGAAGGTACCTGGGAAAGGTGGTGACTGGAAATGAAATGGCAAAGTTGTGCTCAGGTGAAAGTGAGGAGGTGTGGTGTCGTCGTCCCCCCCCGAATGTCAGTGTACCAGCCAAACTACACACCTCTTAAAGGACAGGAGTGCTAAGGCTAAGGACTGTCAGCATCTGTGAGGACTGTGCTAACATACAGGTATACTTTTTAAAAAAGAGGGCGGTTTCCGTGGGTGATTCAAGACAGGGGTTTATTGTGGGAAGGGTCTCCTCGTGCATGCATTTTTTTTAGTAGCATCCATACATTTCCCATTTCATCTGAATTTGCTCTTCTGGGGTGGGGGTGGGGAATGGGATAAACCAAAAAAATTAAAAGCTATTGCAAGGAACCTATTGTGAAACTGTTTATCATATGAAGCCCCCATCTGGAAATGCTCTCAGCTGGAGGGGAAATGAAAGAAGCAAGGAATAAACACAGGAGGGTCAGAAATGGGCAGTGATTTTGTGTGGACCTCCCTCTACCCTATAAAAGGGAGCAACTGAAGCATGGCAAGCCCTAGTGTGGAAGCCCACATAGAAACAGGCTGGCAAAATCACAATACTGTCAGATAACTGGTGCTTAGATCAAACAAAATCAACAGACGTGTAACTATCTTTGTCATGTTCCTCTCTGGTCTGTCTGTTGCCCTTTCATCTTTCTACCCATCTGTCTGTAGTCTTCCTCCAGTGCAGAAATTTAGATTATAAGCTCTTTGCAGTCGCCTTCTTTTTGCATGTGTTGCGTGAGACACCATTTATATGCTGAACAATCAATCAATAATAAATGTGAGATTTTCAATTTGACCATAAAATAACATATAATTTATAATCTTGTTGTTCAGATCAAAGGCCAAACGTTGGACTAATCAGGACATGTCCAGGAATTGGACTGTCAAAATGGCCTGTGGTGGATCTTTGCCTAATCGGCAAAATGTCCAGGAAAACTAGGGCAATTTTTAAAGAAAAATGCTGTAAAAATCCCAAAAAAGTTTTTTGGGGGTAGATGTTCCCCCAAAAGGTCAACAACTTTGTTCCTGAAAATTAACGTGCTTGTAGCCCAGATCCTGTTAGCCCAAAGATGGAAAGAAGAACAGTTGCCAACAATAGAAGAATGGCATAATAAAACTGATGGACTATGCAGAAACGGCAAAGCTGACGGCAAAACTCAAAGACGGACAATGAGAAGTTTAAGAAAGAATGGGGAAAATTTATTGTGTATGTGCAGAAATACTGTAAACAAGTTGGTACATTGGCATGTTTAGATTAAGCACTTGTAAGTAGTAAAGAATTAGAGAATGTAAAGGTGTAACAAGCGGATAAAAATGATAACAAAATGCAGAGAATGATGTAAGATGTAAAGAACCAGTAGAAGGGGATGGAATGAAGTCTTGAGGTTTAAAGAACCTCGAAAGATGGTTTGTAAAATTGTAGGATTTTTTATTAGAAGTATAAATGATAGATGGTGGTTTGATTTTTGTATCCTTATTTGACTGATTATTATTTTTGAAAAAAATAATTACAAAAAAAGCGAGAAATTGACGTGCTTATTTACAGAAGATCATGCACAAAAATAATCAAGCATATTTAACGTTGCTTCTCCGAGATCATAACTAGGAATTGACATGAACGCATTAAATTATCAGCAGGGGCCCAACATATGGGAGGAGTGCAGATTCTGTCCCTCAGCATCTGTGTCTTCGGATTAACGCTTGCCTGCCTTGGAGACGTTTCCTGCCACGGGGCCACCAAGCATGACGAAGCTAACGTGGCTCTTTCCAGCTCATTTAAACAATTTCCCATTGTGTCTGTCACAGCTAAAATCTTCATCAGCATCTGCAGACAGCTGTGGCAGGCTTTGCACTTTGCATATGCCACTGAATGGAAGGCAAAGTTAAAAGGAGGGAGTGGGAGAAGAGCCTGTGGATGCTGCCCTGGAGCTGCTATGAGAGAGACAGACAGAGACAAGTCCTTTTTGAAATATGGCAACCCTAGCAATTTGAAACTCAGTTCTCCACATTTCAGCAGCAATTTGTCATTTTCCAAAAAAGAAAGAAATTTCTTCAGCACTTTAGTGCACATTTCTCCTATTAAAGTCTTTTTTTAATACTTTAATTTTTCTAAACAACAAAGACAGACAATGCACATGAAAAGAAAAATTGTCATCTTTCTTTTGACTTCATCACTGAAAGCTTCTTGTGTTTTATTTATATCATGTTGTTAATGTCTGTTTTTCTAATACACATCTTTTTGTATGCAGTTTTGACTAATGCATGCATCAGTGCAAGTAATTTATCCTAATATAATGCATTTTCCATATTTTTTCACTAATATGTTCATTTTTAGGCACTTCCCCACCCCCCTGCCTCCAACATATGTATTTTTGTAAACATTTATTTGGAGAAATGTGTTGCAAAATTCAAGTAAGTGTGACTTTTGAAGGATGGCTGTGTTTCAGTTCTCTTTTTTTTTTTGTAAAGTGCAAATTTGGTAAATTAGGTTCTAAATGCAAACTGAAATAAAGTTCTCCCCCATCACTAGGTAAGTGGCAACTAACTTTTCTCATTGGCATACTCTAAGCATGACTGAAACTGGATCCAACCCATAAGGAGGAGAGGTGAGCAAGGTGATAATCATGATTCTTTGGTGGATGGCAGACTTAGTTTTGGTGTTCCGTGTTGACAGTGCCACAGGCAGGGAAGGACAGCCAGATGCATCTAGAAGGAGAATCAGGTCCCACCCCTGAAAAGGGCTGCAGACATTTACTCCAATCTAATGCTCACCTTTTTTGGCCAAATTACGTTGTGCAAAGTAAGGTGTGCATTAGATTCGATGGAACATTTACATTTGCCAGCAAATACTTTTTTTGGTTTCAAAGTTCTGAAAACTGAGGTGTGCATGAGATTTGATGGCGCATTCGACTCAAGTGAATACAGTACGTCTAGAAGACTCAACTGGCAGCTTTCCATTGTTGGTCCCCCACTGCAAAACAAACAAACAAATCCATCCACCCACAAAGACAACGCAAGCGCCCATCTTTGTAAAGGCATGCTTCTCTCTGGGCTGGAGCACGCCCTCTAGTCCTTATTTGCAATCATCTTTGCTGAGCCGTTTTCTGGTGGAGAATGACTAGCACCATGGCAGGGGGCAACCAAGACGACCTATAGTCTGTCCATTGCATCCAAAATCAGCAAACCAATCAAAACCAGCCTGTGATTCTGAACAGATCTGACAGTAAACTCACATTAAAAAATAAAAATGAACCTGAAGAAGAAGAAGAAGAAGAAGAAGAAGAAGAAGAAGAAGAAGAAGAAGGCTAAGAACTTTGGGATTTCTGGATACATTTTCTGTGCCATCTCCTGCACTCCAGTGCCCATGTTAATTTCTCTGAAGGAGCCCATTTAGCATGTTGCAAAGGAAGAAATGAGGTCAAAATGGCATGAGAGAAAACAGATGCTGTCACTCCCTGCCATCTAACCTCACTGCCCCTTTCTGTCACCGCTGCCCCTCACCCTGCCATCAAGCCTATAATCTGTGCATCAGATTTTGCTACAGTCTAGCTCACTCGACTTGCAGATTTTCAAGGACATTTCTTCAATCTCACCTTCTCCAACTTCCGACATTTTGTATTGATTTATGGCATTGCAGTTAGCTGGGGGGGAAATAAAAATCCCAGGCCTCCTTTTTCCTCCATAGCTTCTTTGCTGCTTCAGATGCAGCCCCGTCTTCTATGAGCAGCTACTTAACTGCTGTACTGCATTTCAACAGACTATGAGAGTTATTGGGAGTTTGAAAATAAACAGATGGCATGCATGAAACGTCTAAGGTTTTGTCTGCACATTTAAAATAGCATCATGCCACTTTAAACAGTCGTAACTTCCACCGAAGAATCCATGACTTCATTTGAGAGAGCTATGCATGATGTGTTAGGGTTGACTGGCTTTGCTTTCAAACTTTTCAAACTCATTTTGATGCCTCATCAGCTCCATTAAATCTTATCAGCTTGGCAGTCTTTTATCAGGCTTAAGTTTCTGTACCCATAACATACTCCCAACCTAGGATCCCCTATGATAAGAAGTGCAATGCAGGAAACTCTCTCTGGGAACGCTCTCTGGGAACTTAAAAGGCCTAGGCTATAGGGCCATGGACACATATTTACATAAAATTTGCAAATGCTGATTTACAGGTTGAGACACAGGTTTAGACATCCAGTGTTACATAAAGTGAGTCAACCAATTTATCTGTCCAAACCACCCCAAATTATTCAATTAATTTGCTCCCCACATCAGTTCACACCAAAACAGGTTGTTTGTTTTGAAAAGATTGGTTCCAGATCCATTCAGTTCCTTCAGTTCCCCCCGTGTTACCCCCAAACCATATCTGAAGTCAACTTAAATTTAATAGCCCAATTTAATAGTCTACCCAGGAACCAAGATTGCCCCTTAATTCAATTTCCCCCAAACTTATTCCCTACCTGGGACACTCAGAAAACGTTTTGGGAGCTTATGTCCACGCAATGCCAACTATGCACCATTCATGCACATCTTAAGGTTTGCAGGAGCCACAGGTTGGAGGAAATAAAAATAAATATGGGGAAGGGGGGAGGGGCAGACCTCAGAAAGGCCCAGGGAGGACTGAGCATGCTCAATGGGTATGACATTCTGAGTACCTATTAGGATAAGAGGCACAAGTGTACAATCTGTGTACTCAGATAGTTGAGCTGTACACTTTGCACCCTCATTCAGTGTGAGCAAGCCTGTTCTCGTAAGCCCCACTCATTTTTCTGTCTTGTTCTCATGGCGGTTGCACCTTGTGCACCCGGCACAATTTCAAGAACAGCTGCTGTAGAGCAGGGGTCAGCAAACTTTTTCAGCCGTGGGCCGGTCCACTGTCCCTCAGACCTAGTGGGGAGGGCGGACTATATTTTTTGCGGGGGGGAATGAACGAATTCCTATGCCCCACAAATAACCCAGAGATGCATTTTAAATAAAAGAACACATTCTACTCATGTAAAAACACGATGATTCCCGGACCATCCGCGCGCTGGATTGAGAAGGCAATTGGGCCGGATCCGGAGCCCAGGCCTTAGTTTGCCTGCCCATTCATCGTCTACAGAACCTTGTCAAAGGGGACCCCATTTGGGAAAGTGAGCAACCAGAGAGCTCAAGCATGAGCAACGGGGACATCTGGTGGCTGTGGAGAACCAAAAGTGCAGCAGGAGTGCACTCTATGCAGAGTAAATGGGGTGTGTACACAGGGAGTGGCAGCTTACTCAGTGACCAGGTAGGGGACTGACGGTGGACTTAATCAGTTATTGAAAGTGCCAGGACTGTGATACTTAGTCACCTCATTGATCATTGCTGGGAAACTTCAGAAGTGGAAGGAAAAGCTCCAAAGTTTTTATACCATGTCATGAAAATGTTCAAAAGTGGATTCAAAATCCAGTTAATAAACAGCAAGTTACAATCATGTATTTTCATATTTTATGTGACTGACTCATGAACTTTTCAGTATAATGGTTTTCTTACCAATTGGTTATCTGGGGTGTTTGGGGAGGGGTGGTACCTCAGGTGGAGGACACCCACATCATGCTTCTTTTGGGGTACTGTGTCCATCTTTGGTCCCCATCCTGCACTCAGCTCTCACCTGTGTCTCCTAGAAGCTGTCAGCATGCAACGGCGGCCACACCCTGGGAAATGGCTCTGACTGGCTGGCTAAGCCAGGTGAGGGTACCTGATGGGTGAGTTAAGAGCTTCCCCTGCATGCGAAGACAGGCTCCAGTGGATTGAGCAGACAAGACCAATACAGTTGTACCTTGGATCCCAAACGCCTTGGTACTCGGACATTTTGGCTCCCAAGCGCCACAAACCCAGAAGTGAGAGTTCTGGTTTGCGAACATTCTTTGGAACCTGAATGTCTCACAGGGCTTACAGGGCTTCCGATTGGCTGCAGGAGCTTCCTACAGCCAATTAGAAGCTGTGCTTTGGTTTCCAGATGTTTTGGAAGTCGAACGGACTTCTGGAACGGATTCTGTTCAACTTCCGAGGTACGACAGTAGTAGGTCCAACAGTCAAGAAGGCCGGTGGGGCTCATCTACCCGGGAAGGGAGCCCATCTAGGAGAAGGAAAACTCTGATTCTAAAGCTCCACTGCCTTGCAGGATATCTTTGGGAGAAGAGAAGGCTCAGGAGTAAACCCTACACAAATCTGGGGAGGGGGGTCCCCAATATGGTTAGATGGCGCCTTGTACGTCTCTTTCTGGCAACTCCTGCAGCAAAGTTGGTGCTAAATGTCTTGCTCTGCTTTCCTTTGGGTTACCTTAGCAAGGCCAAGAGGGGAGTCTTGTCCTCTGGGCAGCTCAGCACCTCCAGACACACAGCCCACCCTTGCCCCCCAGGGAGGTCACTTTGGTTCTGCTAATGCAGCAGACTGACTTCACCCCAGAGGCACACTCCATTGTCTCTTGGGACAGATGGATGCCAACAATTGGTCCTCTACAGCACGAGGTGTCCTGGAGCTCCCTGAATGAAACATCACAGAGCAGCCTGTGCTGAAGGACCACAGGGTTCACTAGGCGGATCTGTTGTCTTTGAGGGAAACTGCAGTCCAACCTTCCCAACCATGACACAGGTGTCTTCTTTTCAGAACCAAGAGGGAAATGCCAAGTGGCCACGAAACCATAAGGAGCACTAGAGGCGCTGGCTCAGTCAGGTGCCTGGCATCAAAATGGGCTAAAAGAATACTTTTAAATTCTTATCCAATTTAGCATGTTTATTTTACTTGCGTTTCAGAAGCAAGCTAAGAACTTTGAAACAGCAGGAAAGAACTGTATGCCAGGATACCAACACAAATTTCATCACATGAAATTAGGACATAAAACTATCCCTACAATTTTCCATCCCCCCCCCCCATTTTTTTCACAATACAGTAAAATAATGGATAGAATAAATACAATCAAAAAGACAAAAGAGAGAGGAAAGAGAGAAAGAAAAAAGGAAAGGAAAGAGAAAGAAAAGGAAAAAAAGAAGGGGAGGGAGAACACAGAAATAAGAAACACCAAAGATTTAAAAATATTTCTGATTCTTTGTCTGCTGGTTACATTAGAAAATGACTGTTTAAACCATCCAGTCCATGTTGGTACCCATCATCTCCACTTTCTGTTTAACCACATTTCTTTTTATTCAAAGTGTCACCACATCATTTATTTCTTCTTCCCACGAAACTCCGAGGGAATTCCAAATTGTTATTATTAATAATAATTAGCTATACTTCTATTAATTCCCATGACCATTCCTCTGCATTGGATAATAGTATGTTCTTCCATCCATTCTCATACTAAAAATTTCTCTACTGTGGTCACATGTTGAAGTAGTATTCCATGTTGTTGTTTTTACCCTTATTGTATATCCTTGAGTTCATGCCCAGTTCTGCATAGTCAGAATCCATTTCCTGATGTTTTCTGTTATATTTACAATGGAGTCTTGATATCATTCCCTAGAACCTTCCATTTTCTTTTTCTCAGTCTTTTTCAAGAGACAGCACCATAAATAACATCATTCTCCAAATTTACTCCAAATTGCTTGCAGAATACTCTCTCTGTTAGAGCTGGAGAATGGCCAGGACTGGATTTTTCCTCTCAGCTCCATCAATGAAAAATCCAAAAAGTTCTCCATCTCTCCATTCATGATGCCATCCTCTTCTCATCCAAACCCTTAAATAGAGGGCATTTCCATTATAGCATCTGTCCTGTCCCATTTTACTTTTCCATCATCCAATCCTGTCAGTTCTTCATCAACCTGGTCTGGGGTCTCTAGATATTCTCCATCTCAATTTTCCATTTCATCTCTCTCTGATTCATCATACATTGATCTGATCTCTTTTAATTGTTCACCCAGCAACTGCTGAACAATCCCAATGGTCACTGGAGAATTCAAGGGTATCTTTGTCATACTGGATCTTTTTTATGCTTTAGAAATTGCTCATAACACAAGTTGGATCTACACTGACCTGTTTAACGCTATTTGCCCCCATTAGAACAATATTAGATATGTCATTCTAAAGTGTCACAGGGCATATTTGTTAACTAAAACGTTTTTTTTAACCTTGATTTTTTTGGCCAAATGTAAGTAATACCTCATCATATCATTTCCCAAAATTCTGTTTCTTTCCGTGCTGCTGGTTGCTCTGCTCTGCCCTCTGGTGTCACATTTTAACACCGCTCCTCGAAGGGGGGTCAGAGTTGGAATGCAGTAAAAAAAAAAAAAAAAGGTAAAACGCTACATAGGAACATATGATCCTCTGCTTTTCTCCTTTAAATCCCCATAGAGGTAGGCACAGCCCACACAGGGCCTTTCAGGAGAGAGGCCAAAGAGCCCTAGAGAAAGAGGAATCTGCCCGTCACCACACTTTAGAGGAGCATGTGAAGTGCCTTCCCATGAAGGGAGCCAGGCAGTCCAAGCTGCAAACCGAACCCTGCCAGAAAAAGGGAAGCAGGACCCCAGTGAGGCCGCCTGGTGGACAGAGAGGTGAACTTGTCCATTACGTGGCGTAGCACATGAAACAAGGAACGTAGAGGCTATTCTCCTTGACGACTCTTCTCCTGTGTTTTGAATGAGGTGCCTGGGCTCTATCTGCTCCAGCAGAGCACTTCCCCTTTCACTGTTAGCAACTAATTATTCTCAGTCTAAAGCAGGCTTCCTCAACCTTGGCCCTCCAGATGTTTTGAGACTACAATTTCCATCATCCCTGACCACTGGTCCTGCTAGCTAGGGATCATGGGAGTTGTAGGCCAAAAAACATCTGGAGGGCCAAGGTTGAGGAAGCCTGGTCTGAAGGGATGGTGCATGGGGTGGGTTCTGCAGCCACAGCCGGTGCTGTGATGCTCCAGCAGTTTGACTTCACCTCCAGAGGTGCACTCCATGGTCTCCCAAGACAAATGGATACCAACATAAATGCATGCCTCAAGCGTTTTGCATATATAGTTCACGCCTATGTTAATAATGTCAAATGCTAGACTTGTGGAGGAAATGCCTTAAGTCATGTACAATTTAGCTCAGGGAACGTTATCCAGTGAAGCCAACCTTATGACAAGGCACCCCTCCTAGGAGGCCCCATTCATCAAGAGTTTATGTCTGCCTACAATGGCCATTGTGTAAAAATCACAAGAAGAAGAACATTGGAAGATGTATTTTTTGCAGTGTGCAAATGTTCTCCAAAAAGTATGTGAATAAAACATGGCTGATCCACAGTCAATCATGCCCATGGCAGAAGTCTTCTTCAAAACAGCACTGTAGCTTGGAAGTTTGTTTTCCCCTTTTGTTTTGTTTTGTGTCATTAGACTGCAAGCCTGAAACTTAGAACTGTTTTACCATTGATCTTTATGAGATGCTGTGAGAGTATTTGTGGCCAGAGTGGAAGGACACCATCATGGCTTCTGTATCTTTTTGTCTTTGTCTTCAATGGCACTGGATGTGGAAGAGGATGGAGCTGCTCTGCGCATCAATGGCCACCCGAAAGAGCACACATGGAGACTCCTGGGCAGCCAGCAAGGGAGACAGGCTGGACCATTTGGACTAAAACCTGGAAAGCCAGGATTTGAATCCACACCTAGTGATGAAGACCATGGGGGGTGGGGACCTTGGGCCAGTTGCCATCTCTCAGCCTCACCTATCCCAAAAGGGTTGAGGCAAATGGAGAAGGGGAGAAGCTCCTGGGAGGAAAGGTGGGATTAGGAGTGTAACAATATCAAATCATCTGCCTCCACAACAGCACATTCCCACCATTCCTAAAAGAACAGTGGCAACCAGCTCATATCGCTCTGTAGGTAAAGCAGGAGCCTCTTAATCTCAGGTGCTTTTGTAGCTGGGCATTGCAGAGGGTTGGACTAGATGACCCTCGGGGGTCCCTTCCAAGTCTGCCATTCTGTGAAATGTTTGCAGATTCCTGTGCGTGGTCCCGTTGTGTTCAATGTGGCAGCCTTAAGATGCTGCAACACTGCTTTTTAGAAGGAAAAGAGAGAGAGAGGCTGTTGCGGTGGATTCTCCTTGAGAGGGGAAGGGATCTCTCTGCCGCCTTTCCGTTGGGAGTTTTGTTCTGAGGTCGAGGGAAACTTGGGATATTTTCTGTCAAGTCTGGTCACGTCCTATGATTTCACACTCATTCACAGAAACGCTAAAATCGCTTTGTGAACGCTGGATTTTTAATATATATGAGAACTTGCTATACAGTATATCCGTAATAACTTCCTCCGCCGCCCCTCCCCCCTCCGGCCCCAGCAGAAAACACAGTACAATATTCTTATATCCCCGCGTCTCCTCCTCCTCCTCAGTCCCCGCTTCTCCTCTACCATTGCCCATTCCCCGCTGCTCTTGTGCTTCGCTGAGGGAAGAGCGGAGGCGGCAGCGGCGCCATTTTGCGAGGGGCGAAGCGGCGCCTCTTTCCCCTCCCCCACGGGAGAAGAGCGACGGGCGCGGAGGCGACGAGGCCGCCAATGGGACGGAGGCGGAGGCGGGCGGAGAGGAGGCGCGCGGCGCGGGACCTATTTCGCGCGCTTCCCGTCGCGCGTCTCCCGACCCCGCTGGGCGACTTTTGTGGCGCCGGAAGCCGTGGGCGGGACTTCGCGGGCGGCTTCCTCCCCCTCCCCCCGCTTCTCCTTCTGCGTCCGCTCGAGGCGGGCGGGCGGGCGGGCGGACTCGCTCTCTCTCCCTCCATCCTGGTACTTGGGCGCCTCCATCCTGGTTTCTCAAGTGCCCGGACCCAAAACAGGAAGTAAGCGAGGCGCGAGGCGGGCGGGCGGGCGGGCGGGAGAGGCGGCCGGGGATCAGGCCGGGCGGGCGCCCAGCGGAGGCGGAGGCGGCGGCGGCCATGGCCCTCCGGCGGAGGCGGCGGTTGGGGTGCGCGGGGAGGGGGGGGAGGGGCCTTGGCTGCGCCCGAAAAGCGGCGCCTGGGAGGGGAGGGAGGTCTCGGGGGGGGGCACACGGGAAGCGCCTCCGTCCCCTGCGAGGCCCCCCGGGCTTCTCATTCCGCCCTTGAGCAGCGCTGTGAGCGGCCCCGAGGCCTTTGGGCACGAAGTGGCAGCACCGAGAGTCTCCTTCCCCCCGGGAGGCTCCGTGTCCCGGGTCTCCCCCTCGCCCCTTGCCGCGTCAGGCCAGGGCAGCCAGGTGGGCTTGCGCTGTCCAAACTCCGAGGGGGAGCGGGGTTCAGGCATCCCCACACTCGCAGCACTCTCACGCGCCACCCCAGTCTCCGCAGCACATTGGAGACCACGGTGTCCTTATGATAAATGGCTTATTTACACAATATCTACCACCGGAGCCTGCCACCCCAAAAGGCACCAGGATGGCACCCGACTTGTATTTTAACATGCTAAATTAGATGGGGGAGTCCAGGTGCCCCGCAGACTACACCCTCCGAGAAATGCACACATTTGACCCAGGTGTGTATTTAACAGCTCTCCTGTAGAAAGGTAACAGGAAGGTTCCCACTTCTGACACCCATGTTAGACGCCACCTCCATCTCTGAGGGTTGTGAGGTTCCAGGAGGGCCAGGTGTGCTTACCCAGGGTTCTTACTTGGACATTGAGGCCAGTGAGGGGACTGTGGTGTTTATTTGATAAATGGTTTACACATATATACAGCCTGAGCCTACGACAGGGGCCTACAGCATTACGCTCTCAAAGAGTTCTTGCTTCTCCCATGGCTACAGTCTTCCTATTTGAACATTGAGTCTACAGGACATTGGACATACAGTCTACAGAAATCAGCCATAGCCCTCTATCCCAGCTCACTGCCTACAGACTGACACCTTTTTCTTAAGCTCACATCAAGGAAACTGCATTCCTAAAAACAGCTCTTAACTAACAGAGCTGGAGGAGGGGGCCCACTGCTCTGCTACATGGTACAGAGTCAGTCTGCCAAGGGCACATATCCCTGCCTTTATTTTCTTAATGGCTGCCATGTCAGCCATTGAATCCCTGCTGTATCTGAAGAATCATGGGACTTGTTTAAATTCTAACTTTCCTGGTTCCAGAAATTTTGGGGAGTCTTTCCTCCCCTTCACAAACTTACAACAATACCACAAAGAAAGGGGGGTGATCATACAATACATCAATATATCCTCTATCATCTCATTTATAAAACAAAACCCAAAACACCCGCCATATAAATAATAATAACAAACAGTGTTAACTTACATTGCCCTGTGAAATGAATTTTGAGGCAGTTCACAGGGCCATGGAGGAGGAGCATGAGAATAAAGCGGATGGGGGAGACAGGGATGAGATGCTGTCCAGCATCTATTTTATAATGCAGAAATACAGTGTGCTTATGTGTCAGGGGTTCCATAGGAGAAGAGGAGGAGTTTGGAGAAAAGGTTGTTATCCCATAAGTAGCCAGAACATTATCCTGCTAATTATTCTTTACTCCTTTCTCCTGTTGCACCCCTACACATATGCACTGCATTTCCATATTATGTAACATTGCACGGCTTCAAAACTCTCACTCTCTCCAATTGTTCTGGCACCTCCTGTTCTCCACAGAACTTGGAACAGAAAAAGAATGTAGCGCCGCCAGTTTATCCCCCCACCCCCAGCCCTCTTCTTTTGCACCCCTGAAGTATTGCATAATGCTGTCAGAATGTAGTGCAACACCTCCCCCCACTCCATTAACAACTTTTCCCACAAGCTGCACCCCATCCTACAGAAAATATTAATGCTCCAGCATTCCATTCCTCCCTCCCTAGTGTCAGGCTGGTTTTCCAAACTAATGGTATCTTTCCATCTCAGTTTTGTGTGCCCTGCCCATAACAGCAAAGTCCTGTGGCACCCTAGAGGATGATCTACTCTAGGTTCAGTTTTCAAATTGCCTTATGCTTATGGGTGGGGGTTTCATTCCCTCCGAAGGACCAGGCAGTTGGGGAGTGCAACTGGACCAGCCTTTGCCAGTGGGTCAAGCCACTGTTGCACATGCTGTGGTCACATCTGGACTGTGTATAAAGGTTACTTTTGAAGAGCTCTCAGACTGCAGCTAATGCTGAACACTGCTGCCAGGTTACTGGGGGGCGGTCATTATTCAGAGCACTTATTTCAATTGTGTTCAATCTGCACTGACTCGTGATCCATTTCTGAACCCAGCTCAAGGTGTTCATTACCATCTTTAAAGCCCTAAATTATTTGGGCCCAGGCTTCCTTGCTTCTATATGATTCTGCTCACCCATTAGCATTGTTGTTGGCCATGAGGAGGGATTCTGCCTGGCATCCTGTCTCTTCCTGAGCTATGTTGGTGGGTATGCTGGTAATGCCCACCGGTCCTTTGCTGGTGATGCCCAGTCTTTGGAGTTCCCTCCTTTGGGAGATGGGCCATACAGGGTTCTTCTTGCAGGCTTCCCTTAAGCATGTGGTTGGCCACTGTGATAGCAGGATGCTGGCCTAGATAGGCATTTGGTCTGATTCAGACAGGGCTCTTAGGTTTTTATTGGTATGCTATTTTGTCTGTACTGTATTTATATTTTGTAAGAGGTCCATCTCTGGTTGAAAAGTGACACAGACATTGTAATGTAAAATAAGTAAATAGTGAGATCTTCACATACAACACCCTGAAATCAATTGTTTCTGTTACCTCAACCCAAAATGCACAGCATGTCACTGGCTTTGCACCCTGGAGCAGAAGTAGTTAATATGGTGCCCTCCAAATATTGATGGACTGAAGCTTCCTCCATCCCTGACCATTCAGCATGCTGAGGGAAGCGGCCGGCCTTGTTCTGCATTCACCTACTGATGAATGAATAAATAACGTTTCTAAAAAATCTTCTCTTCTACACAGAATCTTACATGCTATATTGTATTATTGTGGTCACACTTAGTGCTTCAGAAAGAGAAACCCTCAGCATCTTTGTATGCCCCCTTCCAGGATGAATCCCTTCAATTAGGTTCTGTTTCCTCAAAAAATGTCACACAAAACGTAACCACTTCCTGCAGAACTTGTAAAGTCTTCAGTTAGCCCAAATGGCAAAGAGCCTCATTGCATTTTGAAGACATTTACAGTGGTGCCCCGCAAGACGAATGCCTCGCAAGACGGAAAAACCGCTAGACGAAAGGGTTTTCCGTTTTGAAGTTGCTTCGCAGGACGAATTCCCCTATGGGCTTGCTTCGCAAGACGAAAATGTCTTGCGAGTCTTGAGATTTTTCGCTTTCCCCCCCCTTTATCTAATCTGCTAAGCCTTTAATAGCCTTTAATAGCCTTTTAGCAGCTAATCCCCTAAGCCTTTAAGCCTTTAATAGCCGCTAAACAGCTGATAGCGCTAATAGCGCTAATCCGTCAATGGGCTTGCTTCGCAAGACGAAAAAACCGCTAGACGAAGACTCTTGCGGAACGGATTAATTTCGTCTTGCGAGGCACCACTGTACTGTGATATTAGCATTCATGGGCCAGAGTCCGCTCTGCCATTTGCATGATCACCATAGACTTAATTATTAGCTCACTGCATTTCTTTTTATATCTTATAGCAAAATAGAACTGTTCCACTATAAAAAAGTGGAGGCAAGTCCTTAATAGAAGCAGGCATTGATGCAGTTCTGATAGGCTGTTCAAGAGATAATTAAGGAAGAAATGAATGAAAAGTGCAATGAGGACACTGCCAGTTAAATATGGAAAGGACCGTTGCTGAATAGGTCTAATACAGATAAACATAGATAATTATTAATGAATAAGGCTATCAATGATGGTGATGGCTGCATAGTTGAAGCATTATGCGGTTGAATACCTAAGGCAGGGGATCATGAATTGTTGATCCTAAATGCTTTAGCTATGGCGAAGGGCACCGCTGAATAAGAAACTGCTCTCTTAAGGGCTGGGGGGAACCTCTGTTTTAATTCTTCATTCATTTTGGAAAAATAAAGGACCATGATGTCGAGGGGACCTCATTATTCAAACTAGTATTCTGTCCCCACTAGTGCACTATATTTATACATGTGTTACCCACAACCATCCTCTGCCGCCCTATAAGAATACACTCTGCCCAAATACACCTGTGCATTCAAAAGCCTTTGTCACTACTTTCTCATTGTAATCTCTCGTGCCCGTTATCCATATTTTAAAGGAATTAATTCCCCCTATAAAAGGGTTCTATTGTGAAACTTTTATCCTCCATTTTTTATATTGCTTTGCACATGGGATTTTTAAAAGCCAAATTCAGTGAAAAATGCACTCCTGTAAAAGTGAGCATTGTGATTCTAAAAATACTATGAATGAAAAAAAATAGCTGAAAGTTCTCACAGAGTTTTAGTTTATGCTGTCTTAAAATTCTGGATACTTTTGCATGCTTTGGCAAAAGCCCTGACAGTAAATAAATAAAACTATGATTACAGTAGGCACGAGTAAAAATATTCCTGCTACAGAAGGAAGAGATCCCTGTGCAAGTTTAGTGAGCTCCAGAACCTGCAATATTGCAGAGAATTCCAGATCAGAGCCTCTGTTCATGCAGGGAGAAACCCTTAAGATCTTGAACTCATCTGCTTCCAGCATGGTAGAATCCTGGCTCTGTAGACAGCTGCTGGGTCAGCCCTGGGTGGCATTTTGTGAAACATGAATGACACTCATTATATAACCTGTGACAGAATAGTTACTCAAAAAGAACTGTAAATAGTACAGTGAGTGGCGGGGGGGGTGAGTATTTGATCCCCTGCTAAATTTGCCTGTTTGCCCTCTGATGAAGAAATGACCAGTCCATAATTTTAATGGTAGGTTTATTGTAGCTGTGAGAGACAGAATAACAACAGGAAGACCCCCAGAAACCCAGAAGACAAAAGTGAGAGATTGATGTGCATTATAATGAGTGAAATAAGTATTTGATCCCCTATCAACCAGCCAGATGTCAGGCTACCTGGTATCTTCACTGTATGTAACGAGCTGAGATTAGAAGCACCTGCTGTAAGGGAGAGGTCTTATCTGTAATCCCAGCTTGTTACAGTACCTGTACAAAAGACACCTGTCGAGAAGCAATCAATCCAGCAGATAGTAGCTACCAAGACCAAAGAGCTGTCCAAGGATGTCAGGGACAAGATTGTAGACCTGCACAAGCCTGGACTGGGCTACAAGACTATTGCCAAGCAGCTTGGTGAGAAGGTGACAACAGCTGGTGCAATAATTCACAAATGGAAGAAACACAAAATAACTGTCAACTTCCCTCGGTCTGGGGCTCCATGCAAGATCTCATCTTGTGGAGTTGCAATGATCAGGAAAATAGTGATGAAGCAGCCCAGAACTATACGGGGGGAAATTGCCAATGATCTCAGGGCAGCTGGGACCATAGTCACCATCAAAACAGTTGGTAACACACTACATCGTGAAGGACGGAGATCTTGCAGAGCCCGCAAGGTCCCCTTGCTCAAGACAGCACATGTACAGGCCCGTCTGCAGTTTGCCAATGCACATCTGAATGACCCAGAGGAGAACTGGGTGAAAGTGTTGCGGTCAGATGAGACCAAAATTGAGCTCTTTGGCATCAGCTCAACTCGCCGTGTTTGGAAGAGGAGGAATACTGCCTGCGACCACAAGAACACCATCCCCACCGTCAAACATGGAGGGGGACATACTATGCTTTGGGGGTGTTTTCTGCTAAGGGGACAGGACACCTTCACCACATTGAGGGGACGATGGACGGGACCATGTATCGACAAATCTTGGGTGAGCACCTCCTTCCCTCAGCCAGGGCATTGAAAATGGGTCGTGGATGGGTATTCCAGCATGACAATGACCCAAAGCACATGGCCAAGGCAACAAAGGAGTGGCTCAAGAAGAAGCCCATTAAGGTCCTGGAGTGGCTTAGCCAGTCTCCAGACCTTAATCCCATCGAAAATCTGTGGAGGGAGCTGAAGGTTTGAGTAGCTGCACATCAGCCTCGAAATCTTACTGACTTGGAGAGGATCTGCAAAGAGGAGTGGGATGAAATACCACCTGAGATGTGTGCAAACCTGGTGGCCACCTGCAAGAAATGTCTGACCTCTGTAATTGCCAACAAGGGTTTTGCCACCAAGTACTAAGTCATCTTTTGCAAAGGGATCAAATACTTATTTCATTCATTATAATGCACATCAATCTCTGACTTTTGTCTTCTGGGTTTCTGGGGGTTTTCCAGTTGTTATTCTGTCTCTCACAGCTACAATAAGCCTACCATTACAATTATGGACTGGTCATTTCTTCGTCAGGGGGCAAACGAGCAAATTTAGCAGGAGATCAAATACTAACACACACACACACACACACACGGCTCACTGTACTATTTACGGATTTCATTGAAAGTGGACCCAAGCTTTTAGATGTCAGAGGAAATAACTATCAGACTTGTAAAAGACACCTGAAGGCAGCCCTGCATAGGGAAGTTCTTGATGTTTTAATTTGTTAGAAGCTGCCCTCAAAATGTGCAGCCAATTGAGCACTGCTGGTCCTCACATGCTGCAGAGGTCCCCACTTCACCATGGGAGTCCGCAATCTCCAAACCTTCCGAAATTGCTCCACTGACTGGCAACTAGAGCCTATAAATGCAGACTTCAAAATGCTCCTTCACCGCCCACATTGAGACAAGGCAAGCATAATTATGTGCTAACTAGTGTAATAGTAATAATTTATTATTACAGTCAAAGACCAGTTCAAGAAGCACAACTGAGACTGCTTTCACAAGAATGAAATAGACATTTAAAACAATATACAATAACAGCTTATAGATTAAAATTAAAATAGTTGCATGAACACAAAAAGTCCTAAGGTTAAACTAACATGCAGATTGCCTCTGGGACGCCCAGGAGGCCAGCTACGGCAGTTTTCCTAGCGATCTATTTGTTCCAGGGGGTGTTCTGCGCCTACAAATCTGCGCGCAGAATCTGGTGACCATCTGGGTCATTTTTTGATCTTACCTAAGAGGAGAAAATTTAGTTTAGGCTTGTCCCAAAGGTCAGCAAGCCTGACTAGATGGGGGTTGATGGGCAGGCACAGTCTCTGAGCACACGGGACTTTTCCACAAGATCCTTCCAGAACCGGCGAGGGCAGAGCCAAACTTCTGGCAAGAGTAAAGGCCCTTCTTGCATTTCTGGATACGAGGAAATGGAGGTGTGCTGCCGGGACAGCAACATATCTCTCGTGTTCTGCAGTTATATAATTGGGGAGCCTCAAGCAGTCCTGTTGCACTAACTAGTGTTCAATCACCTTCCAAATGAGACTTGTGGTCAGATGTATTTGCAATATTGAAGTACCCTCTATTCAGCAGCTCTTGGTTCCTGGGAGAAAACTAAGTGTGACTTGGGGTGGGGCTCCTAAAGGAGTTTGGAGAACACAGCAACCCTGCTTTCTATTGTGTACAATATATTTTTTATGGTTCATGAAAGTGCTACTCAGCATTCCAAGGTTTAAGCACTGCTGCTCACCTGGTTGCCTATGGCAAATAAGAAGAGGCTTCACCTAACCAGACTGTGTAGTGGGGGGGCCCTCCTTTTTTAGGCCAGAAATGTGCCTCTTTGTACTTTGTCCTGAGTTTCTTTCTCTGTTGTGCCTCATTTCCTTTACTTCCTCTTTTGTGTGGTTAAGACCTTTAGAGGTTTGGGCTGCAATCCTAACCCCACTTACCTGGGAATACTTCTACACAGACATAGTTAGGTCTGCATTGAGAGTAAGCATGGCGTATCTCTGTGCCATACCCAGACATGACGAGTGTTTCCAGCTACGAGTTCCATGTGCCCAATGCTGTGATAGGCTACTGGATGCGTGCTTTGAGTTCGTTGTCCTCCACCACAATGGTAGTGGTTGTGGCTCTCTTAGCCAGGGCTGTGCCTTGGCTATAATGTGGTGGTTCTACCTGGCAGGCATGTTTTCCGTACCCAGAATTTAAGCAGCACATGAGATCATGTTGATTCTGGGATAATAGACAGCTTACAGACTCAAAACAGATGTGGTCATTTAAACTTTACTAATCTGTGATCTGTTCTCGTTCAGATTTGAGTATGAGCACAGTTAAAGAAGAATCTGACACAGTGACAGTAGAAACCGTGAATTCTGTGACTTTGACCCAAGACACTGAAGGAAACCTTATTCTTCACTGCCCTCAGGATGGTATAGACAACTGTTATTTGACTGTATGCTTTCTCCATATTATTTCAAATTATAATTAACCAACAAACAAAGTAGGATGGGATCTGTTTAATATTATTTCCTTTGGATATTTGTGTGCTGCAGTTATCATAGAATCATAGAATCATAGAGTTGGAAGAGACCACAAGGGCCATCGAGTCCAACCCCCTGCCAAGCAGGAAACACCAACAGAGCACTCCTGACATATGGTTGTCAAGCCTCTGCTTAAAGACCTCCAAAGAAGGAGACTCCACCACATTAATGTAGAGCAGATTTTCCTGTGGGATCTTTGCTCTAGAACAGTGGTTTTCAAACTGCTGAGGATCTTTAGGGTTCCCTGGAAGCTTTTCAGCAGCTTCTAGATGCAAAGATCAGCCATGGTTCCCTTTAGGAAGCTGCCTTATACCAGGTCAGACTGTTTCTTCGTCTATCCAAGTTTTGGCTTCTCTGGCTGGCAGTGACTCCAGAGTCTGTGCAGAGATCTTTTCCATCACCTGGTCCTTTAAAGCTGTAGATGTCAGGGATTCGCATTTGGACCATGTGTGCTCCACTGAACTGCTGTCCTTCGTTCAGAGACAGCTTGCCCTCTGCTAAGAAAGCGCCCTTGCTTCTGGGTTTTGTATGTTGTGTTCTCAGAAGGTGCAGAGCAATGGCAAGACCCAACATGCCTGGCACATGACCCCCTCAAACTGGGGATTTATGCTAGAAGCGGTCTTGGATTTTTTAGCTTAGAAGTTAGCATACAAAGGGTTTCATGAACAAAGTATTGTAGGCCAATATTGTGGAAATTACCCAAATGTATATAGATTTCTGCACAAATCTGATAAACTCTTTACTATACATTGGTACCTTGGTTCTCAAACTTAATCCGTTCCAGAAGTCTGTTCCAAAACCAAAGTGTTCCAAAACCAAGGCTTGCTTTCCCATAGAAAGTAATGCAAAACGGATGAATCCATTCCAGACTTATAAAAACAACTATAACAGCAATTTAACATGAATTTTACTATCTAATGAGACCATTGATGCATAAAATGAAAGCAATAATCAATGTATTGTCCTATAGAAGAAATAAGTCAGTATTGTAGATGATAAAAATTTAAAAAAATAAATTTCTTGCCTGCACTGATGATAGTCATTGCTTTTATCCATTTCCACAGTCACACAATCAATCAATCAATCAATCAATCATAAAACAAAGAACAAGCCACAGTCACAAAAACACAAAAGCCACACAAAAACGCAAAAAAAAAAGCAAAAACAAAAGCACCAAATATAAGCTCCAAATATCACCTCAGAACACTGCAACAGGAAATGGAAGGCTTTGATTACAATGGGGGGGGGGCAAATTAGCAGCGCAACAGTGAAAACAGAAGCTCAGGAGCACATTCAGCTTCCGAAGCAAAGTTCACAAACCGGAACACTGACTTTTGCAGCATTCGAGTTCCAAGTTGTTCAGGAACTAAGCTGTTCGAAAACCGAGGTACCACTATATAGCATGGCCTTTTCAACACAGCTTCCATTTGGGTTTCTTTTAAATATCAGCTCATTGTTTCACTTACTTAATTTGCTTAGTGTGATGTGTAACATCCATTGGAGTTCCACAAACCAGTACATTGGGGAGTGAAGAGAAACTGTTCCTTATTTCTTTAGAACAGCTAAGTGGTATACCCTTTTCATTCAGAGTTTAAAATTTGTAAATGATTATTTTAACGATGTGTACAGTGTTGATTAAAGTATTGTCCACAGGAGTCTCAGCCACCTTGCTATATAGAACAGTGGTTCTCATCTTTTTTGGGTATGGTGACCCACTAGCTCAAATTCATTTGCTGTGGTGATCCATTCATTTATTGTCACATGAATTTTGGTCTTCCGTGTTTAGCAGCCATTGGTTTTATGCATTTTAATTGCAGGTTTGTGCCTGTTTTAGAAGCATTGTTTGAGACATCCAAGCAGACATATACTTGATGCCTCTATTAATGTGGAATTTATTGAAATGTTTATAGTACTTACAAAGTTATTTACAGTTGTGTTCATAGATATGTAAGAATACCATCTAACAGCAGGATACCTGCTTCAGAAGCTTTAAACATTTATTCTAAAAGCATAGTTACTCAAGCGATTATATATAACAAACTATGAATATTTTTCAAGCCACAGGTTGGGAAATGCTGATATAGAAGGTATCATACTTGCAAAAAGCATTTAAGCAGTGGGAAAGTGCTCAGCAAGCTTTCCTTTTAAGTTTCATTCACAGCATTTTTTCTGTGTGTATGTTCAGAGGCAGATGAAGTAGACTCCGAAGACAGTGTCGAACCTCCACATAAAAGGCTTTGCTTATCATCTGAAGATGACCAGAGTCTTGATGACACGACTCCATGCATTTCTGTTGTTGCCGTTCCAAGTAAGTCGGTCACTGCTAATGGAAGGCTGAAGGAATGCAATCCGGTGTCCAGTTCAGAAAAGGACTTGTAGGAATATGGGCCTTGCTTCTGCAGGTGAGGGGTGGTTTAGTTTCAGATAGGGCATTGAAGTGGCAAGAAGGCAAGAGGGTGATGCCCATGCGTGATGACAAATGGTCTGTGGTTGGACTTCTGTCTGTGAGCTGCACAAGGATATTAAATGAGTCTCTTGTAGTTTGAGGAGCAGCTGGCAAGGAGGCATGACCCCAGTGGGAGATCATTTAGGGAGGACGGACCTCACCCTGCATGTAGGAGAGGGGAAAATGAGACCCTCTGGTCTTGGTGGGATATTAGGATCTTGCTACATAAGACTATTTTTAAAGCGGAACCATGCTTACTTGGAAATACATCGCACAATATTCAGTGTGAGACTTACTCGCAGGATTACAGCCTTAATGTATGCCATAGGTTGCAACAGAGATGCAGGTGCTGTGCTAATTTTACATTTTGCATATTCTTAAGTTTCAGAAAGTGACCAGAGCTTTGAGGTGACTATGACAGCTACCACTGAGGTAGCTGACAATGAGGTCAATGAAGGGACTGTGACTCAGATCCAGGTACTGCTTCTTTATTTAGTTGCAGGTTTATAAGCAGCCAGCTGCTACTAAAGTGGTGTGCAATAAGATAAAATATAAAATGCCGCATGGAACAGTTGCCCCTCTCCTTCCCCCATGCACTGCTCTGGGGGCTCTTCGATTTTAGGGGGCGAGCGGGGAAAGCCATGCTGGGCCAGCAGAAGTCCCTGCACAGGGCTCCCGTGGGTGAAACACGTCAAGTGAATCCCACCCTAAGACTTCATGTTCCATCTTCTTCCTCTCTAACCAGCGTGGCCTAAATCTTGGGGATGATGAGAGTGGTTGGCCAACAATATCAGGAGGGCCGAGGGTTCCCCATACAAGGCAGAATAAATGTAATGCTTAAGGTGGCATGTTTGATTCAACATAATCCGTGGGGATTTCAGTGTGAAATAATTCAGAATGTAAGTGCTTGTGAGGTGGCTGCATTAATTCATGATTCTTAAGGACTTCATGAGAGCAAATGTCAATTTGGAGATCTCCTTTTTTTATTTTACCTTTCCCAGATTCTCCAGAATGAACAACTGGATGAAATCTCTTCTCTAGGCAATGAAGAAGTGTCGGCAGTTAGTCAGGCCTGGTTTACAACCAAAGAGGATAAGGATTCATTAACAAACAAAGGTAAATTCACATTCTCCTGCTTATCTCTATGTCTGTTACGTTTTGATGTGACATCAATTGACGTGTGCATACCCAGAACAAACTTAGTTGGTCTCTAAGGTGCTACTGGACAATTTTTTTATTTATTTCAAGTACTCTTGGGCATCACAAACATTTATCATATACGGCAAAAACACAAGAATTTTTGTAGGATTGCTTTGATACACAATGGCCATATGCTTCGTTATAATCATTCAGGGAAAACATACTAAATTTGATTTTTATTTGACTCGCGTAAGCAAATGGAATTTTATACCTTCTGTTGCATTGGTTTCAGCCTTTTTACTCCTTTGCTGCTGTTTGGCAACGTTGGAGGCTTCTTATTTACAAGTATTAGGCACAATCCATTGATGTTAGAAGCTTCCATTTTCTCTACATATAGGATTTATTTTTCTGAAGATTTTTTGTGTGTATGTGATAAGCCTGTTGATAAGTGTTTGTTGGAATCAGGACTACAGATGTAATGCTGTTCCACATGGCACCTGCTTGGAGAATGATGGGGGAGGTTATGCTGTTTAATTTATTGCCCTGTTTAGCATTTTTTTCCTTTGGCTAGTAATGGAAATTTGCTTCCTGATTTCTTCACTGGCTTACCTAGCTGTTCTTCCTAATGCTGAGTACTTCCAGTGATGTGCAATTTGCGTGATAGTGTCTTCTCCATTTTCTAAGGTCATAAATGGAAGCAGGGAATGTGGTCGAAAGAAGAAATAGACATTCTGATGAGCAACATAGAACGCTATTTAAAGGTTTGTTGCATTCAATTAACCTACTGGTTTCAGTAGCCGAACGGGGAAAGTGCCTTTCACTTGCGCAGGATCTTGATACAAGCTATTAATGTTAATACAGTGGTGCCTCGCAAGACGAAATTAATTCGTTCCGCAAGTTTTTTCTTCTTGCGAGTTTTTCGTCTTGCGATGCACGGTTTCCCATAGGAATGCATTGAAAATCAATTAATGCGTTCCTAGGGAAACCGACTTCAGACCAGGTCCGGGGACCGTCTGTCCCCGCACCTCTTCTTAAGGCTGGGGGGGACAAGGGCTTTTCTTCCCACCCACCCCAGCATTTTAAAAACCCGGGACAGCGGAGGGCTTCTCCGCTGTCCGGGGCGATCTTAAAATGCTGGCGGGCGGCATTTAAAATTGCCCTGGGACAGCGGAGGACTTCTCCGCTGTCCGGGGCAATTTAAAGCCCCTGGGAAGGCAGGCAGGGGGACAAAGACTTTTGCCCCCGCCAGCCTTCAGAAGAGGTCCTGGACCTCTTCTGAAGGTTGGCGGGGGCGAAAGTCTTGTCCCCCCACCTGCCTTCAAAAGCTGTCCAGCCAAGGCCTGCGGACCTCTCCGCACGCAGCGGCAGCGCTGCCGCTGCTTGCGGAGAGTTGCCGGCATGCCGAAGCCTGCGCGCGCTGAGATCAGCGCGCCCAGGCTTCGCGGACCTCTCCGCGAGCAGCGGCAGCGCTGCCGCTGCTTGCGGAGAGTTGCCGGCATGCCGGAGCCTGCGCGCGCTGAGATCAGCGCGCCCAGGCTTCGCGGACCTCTCCGCGAGCAGCGGCAGCGCTGCCGCTGCTTGCGGAGAGTTGCCGGCATGCCGAAGCCTGCGCGCGCTGAGATCAGCGCACCCAGGCTTCGCGGACCTCTCCGCGAGCAGCGGCAGCGCGGCCGCTGCTTGCGGAGAGTTGCCGGCATGCCGAAGCCTGCGCGCGCTGAGATCAGCGCGCCCAGGCTTCGCGGACCTCTCCTGCCTTCAAAAGCCGTCCGGGATAGCGGGAAGCGCTTCCCTGCTATCCCGGACTGCTTTTAAAATGCTGGCGGTGGGGGGCGAAGCCGTTCGGGCCCCGCCAGCCTTCCTGGACCTCTTCTGAAGGCCGGAGGGGGGAAGGCTTTGCTCCCCACCGCTAGCATTTAAAAGAGGTCCTCGGAGATTTCCCTATGGGCTTTCGTCTTGCGAAGCAAGCCCATAGGAAATTGCTTTAGTGAAGCGCCTCCAAAACGGAAAACCCTTTCGTCTAGCGGGTTTTCCGTCTTGCGAGGCGTTCGTCTTGCGGGGCACCACTGTATTTTAACAGCATCCTCAAACAGCCTTTGAATAATTTCAGTCCTTTGAAAGTACACGTTAGGGAGAAATGTACAATTATTTTGATAGACAATATTTTTAGTAGGCCTACTATGCCTCAGAATTTAAGCTTTTCAAAAAGGCTTTTTAAAGCTTTACCATAACATTGTAATAAATTGCTGGTCATCGTCAGCCATAGGAGAAGAAGGAACATGTGGAGGGAGAATTACAAGCAGCCTCTACTCTCTAAGCAGCCTTAGTTCTCTTCCAAGCAACTTTTTTAATTCCTCCGTTGTTTCATTTTCTTATTACTTTCTGCAGTGTTGTCACAGAGATCCAAACAGCAGTCTTGTTCTATTCTAATCTGCCACAATTTATAGAATGCAGCCAATTTTCTTTGTGTCACTTTATCAGTATTTGCAATCTCACCATGATAAGATGTTTTGTCTACCCAAGAACCATCATGCCTTGAGGAATGGGAAGGTGTAGCTTTCAAAAAACATTTTGGTACCTTGTTGCTCTTTGCTTTTTTACCATTTTTAACTTAGGCTTGTTTTAAAGTTTTTATGTAAACCACTTTTGTGAGGTTCATTTGACAAGCAGTATATAAGTATCTTAAATAAATAAATGGGTGACTGTAGAGTCCTCTGTTTGTTCAAGGGGTTGTTGGTTTTAATAAACCAGTGGATCCTAAGATAGGATATTGTAATATTCCAAGCCTTGCATCCAGGGATAGTCATTGCAAACAACTTCCCTTACTTGCTGTTTTCTTAGTTTGTTTAACGCCCAGTTTAGACAGACTTCTTTTTTAGGCTTTCACCAGTTTGCACCTTAAAGCAAGCCATGGTTAATAACTGTAAACAAGTGTTCTCCTTGTTCATGTTAAGCCATTAACTGTGGTTTATCATGATTTGCAAACTGGTCTGATATATTTAACTTTGCTTATCTCAGGTACTGAAAAAATAATATTAGTTATATGAGCATCTTTGTAAATGGGCATTTAGAACCTTAAACGACCATATATATGCAAGTTAACAAAAACCAACATGAAGCACAGGTACCTGTCCGTTTGTTTATAAACCGTAAAGAGAACAAGTCCAGTCACTTGGGATCTCCTGCATCACTTTTTTTTTTAAAGTTCATGTCTTCCCAAATTTGATTTCAATTTAAATGCATTGTAACTTGTTTTCCAAATTTTGAATAGAAACTGGGCATTTATAGTCATATTTAATTTTTTTGAATAGCTAATGATAAAAAGTCATTTGGTCACATTTTCAACATTCAGCACATAGTTTTGCAGAGCTTGTTAATAAAGTATCAGGCTTGATCTATTGTAAGATGTTGGGAAACTTAAATTTGTCGTCCAAATCTTGATGTGACTAGGCACGTGGAATAAAAGATGCCACTGAAATCATCTTTGAGATGTCAAAGGATGAAAGGAAAGATTTCTACAGGACCATTGCATGGGGTCTGAACCGACCTCTCTTTGCTGTTTATAGACGAGTACTTCGCATGTATGATGATCGAAACCACGTTGGCAAGTATGAAACCTCCTAACATTTGACCAAACGGTATGAGAAGGGTTAAGAATGGCCTGGGGGCCCTTTTAAGTCCTAGCACCATGTTATGTAGGGCCAGAAGAATCAAGGTGGGGGAAAACAATGTTGAGCCATGAGGCCTTGGAGGAGTACATTTCTCCAAATTAAGCACTTGCTTAATGTTCACCATTAGTAAGTTGACAGTCTCATATGATACTTGAACTCTACTTGTGGCAGAGCCATGGGAATGAGTCATACAGCATTGCCATTGCTGCAGCAATAAAACTGCTAGTATATTTGCAAAGCTGAGCCGGGTCCGTCATGGTTTCAAATTGGGTGGGGGAGCATGTGTTGAGATTGCTGCATTGCAGGGGGTTGGACTAGATGACCATTGGGGTCCCTTCCAACTCTACAAGTCTATGTGACTATAGTTTTGAATAATACATTGGCAAGATTAATGACCATTTGGTATGTCTGCTCATTATGGGTAGGGAACCCTACAGAACTTAAGAACCTTGTCAAAGACTATAACGATTGTTTTCTCTTCTGTGCCTTAACATCAGGTTAGTGTTGGTAACAATCCAGTATGGCATATTGCACTTTGAAATTCTACTTTATTCTGAAAGTTGCAATTATATTTGCCTTTGTGAATAACGTTACATATTATGTGCTGTGCTGAGTCCTAATGAGGGGAATTCAAGAAATTGAAAGAAATTCTATGTGTGTCTGTTAATTAAATGTGCTGTTTGTATATTTCACAGGTACACTCCTGATGAAATTGAAAAGCTCAAGGAGTAAGTTTTATTTTGCATTAATCAGTGTTTTGTGAACAGTTTGGAAGAACCTTCAGTACTCGTTCCCCAAAGTTGTGTGCAGTTGGCAGCCAAAGGCCCATGAATTTACTCAGGCCCCTTAGGTTGCCAATTGCCAAGCACCAGCTTCTTTTAAGAGGAGCCACAGTGTAGTTTGCGGAAGGGGAAGACACAGGCAAGGAATAACAGGACTGGGCATGTAAAGTGAGCATTCCCAAGTCCTTTTTGCAATTGCATTAAGCTTTCAGGGCAGGCTCTCTTTTTTGTGTGGAGCAAATAACTAAGCTGCAAGTGCTTCATTGATCTCTTGCACAGCTTTTGGCGCTCTCTGCAATTTCACACTACATCTCCAGTGTCTCTTTCTCTCCCCATTCCTTGTTAGTAGCAGTGGCCTAAGAATGACATAGACTAGTGCTTAAGGACATGTGAACACCTTCCTGTGTAATCGAGGCCCCATGATATCCGATAAGAACCCTAACATCCTTTGAAATTGGTACCTATTATCCTTGGCTGCATTACCAGATGCAATGGTCTTTATTCAAAATATAATGGGGGGGAAGCCCTTCGACGCTACAGATTCCAAAGCAGTAGTCAAAGGACATGACTCATTTCAAAATGAAATGCAGCAATGCACTCAATTGTGAAATACAGTAATACAGAACTAAGGGTAAGATTCTGTATGCTCACATGCAATAAATACAGTGATGGTTGGCTGAAAATATGTTCAACTTCCCTTCTCCAAAAAAGGAGTTTAATGCAAGCTTTGGGTTCTAGACCTCACAGGGTGCCCTGTGAGGCTTCAGAGTAAACTCACTGTGGAGTGCAGGGATTCACATGTCCTTAAGCACTATTCTGTGTTGTTCTTCGGCTACTGTGAGTGCAGCATTTCAGGGAAATTGGTTTTAGAATGATTTGATGTCTGTATGTGTTGTCAGAGAACAGAATTCCAAAACAGGTTAAAGATAAAATATGAAGTAATCAGTTATTTGATCATTACAGACAGTTTGAGATGTAGAGGTGGTTGTTTAAATGGGATTGCTAAATAGGCCCCCTATACCCAGCCATTCCTTGAGGGGTGATCTGGCTATGTTTATGTATTAATTTGATCTACAGATTTGTGCTTGTTTTAAGAATGTGATTTTATTTTTTATTTTGTGCTGTTCAATCAGCATACTCATCAAAAACCCAGAACTGAACAAACCATTAGCCAGAATAAGCCCCCATCTGGAAATGCCCTGATTCTTAATTATTTTAAGTGGGTTATATTCGTATATAGTTGGGACCCCCACCCCCTGGGCTCCTATAGAGGATGGGCAGGATGTAAACCAATAAATATATACAATTGAAATGCTTTGCACACCATGCTGAATACACTTTTTCCGTTTAGGCTACGGATAAAGCACGGCAATGACTGGGCGACTATTGGAGCTGCCCTCGGAAGAAGTGCTTCTTCAGTAAAAGACCGATGCAGGCTGATGAAGGACACCTGCAATACAGGTACAAGTATTACAACAATTGGCATTCCCAGTGGATGCACAATTGACCTGCAGAAAGTGTATCTCATAATCTTCAAGACTGTACATCTCAGGATTGCTTTAGAAATTTGTTCTGTCATTACTAAATAGCTAAATAATTGATTCAAACTATTGGAGGGACAGGGAGAGGAAATTGTTTATTCAATTTGTATCCTGTCCTTGCTCCCTGAAGAAGGGAAAGATGTGCCTGTTTCAGGGACTCTGGGCAGCAGCATCTAGTGCATATTCTTCCCCAAGTCCACCAACGTTTGTGTGGGAATCACCCATATCCCGTGAGCTTCCTCTGTGGTTTGAAACACCCTTGGCGGTGATGGCTCTGGCCCTAACTCAGAGACAAGCAGCACATATAATTTAGGACGTTACACTTTTCAATGGACATATATTGGTTCTTGTACTAAACTTCTTCTGTCCCTTTACTGCCCATTCTTAAAATGTTGAAAGAATCTTTTGCATGTTTGCAAATGCTACAACAAATATATCTCTATAGAAGGTTGGCTAAATTGTAGATGTGATACAGGGAGCCTCCAGTCCATTGCCAGGCTTCTAAAAGCACATTTCTCTCGAATAGGCCATGGGAGAGGTCAGAGCAGTTTAAGAATCTGAAGGTGTAGAGGGATTGCTAGAGTCAAACAGACATAGGAAATTAAATAAGAAAATAAGGGCCCAAGCCAGTGTGGTGGTGTGGTTAGAGTGCAGGATTAGGGTCTGGGAGAAGCTTGTTCAGATCCGCATGGAGCTGTAAAGCTCACTGGGTAACCTTGGGATAGTGACTGTTTCTCAGCCTAATGTGCATCACAGGATGGTTGTAAGGATAAAATGGGGAGAGTCGTCTGCATGCCACTTTGAGCTTGGAGGATAGGCCGTATATACATCTAATTTTTTATTTTTAAGGGAAACTGTGCTTTTCATTGCCATGTATTGTTCCCTACTTTTTTCCCCCTTCAGGGAAGTGGACAGAAGAAGAAGAAAAGAGACTGGCAGAAGTGGTACATGAATTAACCAGCACAGAGCCTGGGGACATTGTCACGCAAGGAGTGTCTTGGGCTGCTGTGGCAGAGCGAGTCGGGACGCGGTCTGAGAAGCAGTGCCGTTCCAAATGGCTCAACTACCTAAACTGGAAACAAAGTGGAGGCACCGAGTGGACTAAAGAAGACGAAATAAACCTAATCCTGAGGTTGTGCCATTTTCTTGGAAAGCACATCCAGGGATGGGGCAGCAGGGCTGGGGGGAATTTAAAAAGACAAAATCAACATCTCTGTCACTTTGATTTAGTACCTTAGGCAACTCTTTAACAATGGCCGCTGCATTCCTTGTTCCCAGATACTTTAATCTTCTTGCTATGAAAGTATAAAGATTGAAATCATAGAATCATAGAGTTGGAAGGGGCACCAAGGGTCATCTAGTCCAACCCCCTGCAGTGCAGGAATCTCAGCAAGAGCATCCATGACAGATGGTCGCCCAGTCTCTGCTTTAAATCCTCCAAGGTTTTTCTGCTTCACCACACTGGGCAGTTACACTGCAGGCAGCTCACAATGTAAGCTTTGAGAGGAGAAGAGATAAATCCTTGGACACTAAGGCTGCCTATAGTTACTAGTCATGATGGTTATATGCTGCTACCTTCAGACTCAGAGGTAGCCTGCCCCTGAATACTAGATGCAGGAGATCAAATCTGTGTGTGAGAGAGAGAGTGAGTGAGTGAGAGAGAGAGTTATTACCCTCAGACTCTGCTTGTGGACTTCCGAGACGTCTGGTTTGCCACTGCAGGACGGAATGCTGGAGAGGCTCTTGTCTGGGTTTAAGCCATTCACTCCCTCAGCCTTTTTAGGCTTTCGGCCTCCAGTGACACTGCCCAAAAGGAGGTACGGTGGCAGCTTCTGTGATGTTGACCACAGTCCACCAGGAATCACTCTTGAGACCACGTGCCATTTGTTGCTGTGCAGTCTTACTAAATCTGATTAAAGCAGGAGCTACATAACATTCCCTCTGCGCTGGAAGCTGTCTTCTCTAACACACATTTCTTTCCCATGTAATCCTGTCAGAATAGCAGAGCTAGAAGTATCTGATGAAAATGATATCAACTGGGATCTGCTGGCCGAAGGATGGAGCAGTGTGCGCTCACCCCAGTGGCTTCGTAGTAAATGGTGGACGATCAAAAGGCAGATCGCAAACCACAAAGAGGTTTCGTTTCCTGGTAAAGTGTTAAAGGGTTACCTTACCTGCTTGCTGTTTGTTTGCTGGGAGGGTGGAAGAGAGTAGGAAATAACAGCGTTTTCATAGCCCTTAAGAGTGCTCCACCTGATTTCCATATCTTGTAATCCTTTCCACAGTCTTTTGAGGTAGTTCATTATTCTTCCCAAATTTTCAGATTGGAGGCTACATTTATCTTAGAGTTCATTACAAAGGTGAGATTCAAACCTTCAGCTTTTGTAGAGGTTCTTCCTCTAGGATTGCTGCTACTAATAGATGTAGCTTTCCCGAAAGAGGAGGGAGAAGACTTCATGCAGGAAACAGTAACAACAGAAGATACTGGAGAAGCGTGTTGAGGACTAGACAGATAGGAGCTTTGAATAACCTATGCAGTCGTCCTAAGGCTGTTTTGTGCAGTTATCTCCCCAGCCATCCTTGTTTTCTAAGATAAGGTATTAATATTTTTTTATTAATTCCTGTGTTGACTCATTTGGTTTTTTTATTGCCTTTCTCCAGTTTCAGTGGTCCTGACATGGGTTACAAAATGCAACTAAAAACTTTGAAAAAGCAAAGGCATAAAGTGAAATCTTTATTTTAGGCTGGCTCTTGACATCTAGGACTGAGATTGTAGTGTTTTGAGGTTTTTGTGTTAAACTTCTCCATATTTAAATGAATATTGCATGTATACATTTTCATAAAGTTTGTTTCCTTAAAAATAGCACATGAACACACACTCATGCATACATGCAAAGTAATTAGAATAAGGCAAATAACAAATTTAAATACATAAATAGCTATTGAGGGACATCTAACTTTCAGTGGGTGTACTTGTGAGTATGACAAATGTTGGACCCCACCATAGCGGGGTGGTGACTCTCTTGTCTCTCAGGTTGTCAAAAGAAGTCTGCCACTCCCCAGTGCCATAGCTTGGTGGGGGTTAGCCAGGACTATGCCTCTGGGGTGGGGGGTGCCTTTGAGGCTCCTAGCCTACCTGCCATTGTACTGCCTGGGCTTCAGACAGAGTGGCTCTGCTCTGTGGGTGAGTGACTGAGTGGGCATGAAGAGGAGAAAGAGAAAGAAGAGAATGGAGTTGGCTTGCATGCCCAGCCCTGCCCGTTCCTAAAAGTGAGCGACCCTCCTCCTTCCCCTTTCCCCAGTAAAGCCAAAGATGGGATCCCCGTCTAGTTTTGCAGCGGCGAGAGTCTTCTGAAGCAAGGTTCCCCATCTTATTTGCAAACAGTTCAGGAACAGGATGTGGGCAGACTGATAGATGTGCTTGCTTCTGACATTAGGAAGACTAGGTCTTTTTCATTTTGATTTGCCTGATGCACGAAGCTCTTTACTCAAGAGGTTTTTTTGGAGGGGAATAAGTTTTAATAAAGTTCTCCTGTGGTTTGAACTCTTGTCATACACACAGCTTTATTCCAAACACTTCTCTCTGTCTTTTGCGTCTAGTAACATTCTGAGTGACCCTTTTGTTTCCCCATTTCAGTTCTTATAAAAGGTCTGAAACAGCTTCACGAAAGCCAGACGAACGCTGCAGGGCACCAGCTTTCAGAGACGAAACCTGTACCTGGGTTGCCAAATGCTCATTCCGGTTCTGGGGTTCAGCATGTGCAGATTCGAGTGTCTCGCTTGGATGAGAATTCAGGCAATTCTCCAAGCCCCATGGCAGCTTTGCAGATTCCAGTTCAGATTACCCATGTCTGTAAGTACCTCTGATCCCTCACTTGTTCCTCCTCCCTCTGATCATTGCCCTTCCTCAAATCAAGGGGTTTCCTGATTTTCAGAGAGAAGAGGATCTCTCTTTGGTCTGGCAGGAAGTTGGCCTGTAGGCTACCCCATACATAACATGCATATGCAGCAAAGACAGAACACAGTATGTACATCATGGTTTATGCACCATCGCCATTCACGTGGCACAAGCAGTGAATATGGGTAACCATAACTATAGCCATAAGAATGTGAAAAGTTGGGCAGGCTTCTTGCGTTCAGGGAGGAAAAGGAAATGGCCTTTGGTTTGCTGTGGTTAGTGCTGCCCTCTGTCTGCTCCTGGTAAGGAAGGCAGTAGATTTCATGGCTATGTTATGCCACGCTGGTAGCTTCTAAGACGGTGGGGGTTGCTAGTGGGGGTTTTGTTCCCAACCCAACCCACCCTTTGGGATAAAGTTGCATGTGATTCTAAGAGTGATACGGGAAGAAGGCAAAGGAGGGCAGCAAATGCAGCACTGCCAGTGATTTTATTTATTTATTAAATGGGGGGGGGGATATCCTGCCCTCTCAGTATTGCTTTCCAGGCAGCTAATGTAAAAAGTGAACATGCAGAAAGTACTAAAGCACCTGATTGTTTTATAGCTGCTGCACAGCACATTATATTGGATATAATCTATTTAAGCACTGAAGATTTCATCCAGTAGAGGACAGTGCATGCAGCCAGCACCTTTGGAAGAATGCAGAAAATTGAGGTTGAAGGCCAGCTACTTCACCCGCATTCCTGTAGGCTGAACAAAGGCAGACTGTTGCTGCTGCTCACAAAATAGCCTGAAGACGCCGGAGTGATTTCCTCTACTGAAACTAAGCAGATCTGGCCTTGTCTCTGAACCATACATAAGCTGCTCAGAGCAGTGTGGAGGAAGAGAATCATAAACAAGGAAGGCACCCTTTTTCCACACAGTTCATGCCCCTGCTTTTTTCCGCGGCAATGAGATTTTATATCTGTATTTCTTAGTATGTTATTCGTGTGTAAGTAGTGATACCTCCTCTCCGTGTTGAGCAGCAGACCAAAACCATTCAGGAGTTGGGTGCCTCTTTGGGCCACTCCAGATGACCCCACAGTGAGAGGGAGCCGTGAGTTGTTCACACACAGCTGCTCACATGGATTTGGTGACACCTACCATGAGAGCCTGCCGGGGGCAGGTGTTTGTGCTGGAAATGCTTGTTTTAAGTTTTAATTAATCTCTGTGTAGTTATCATATGTATTTTTATCAACTGTTTTCCCAATGTGATTAGTAGTAAAAAAAAATAGTGTTTCCCAGCTGAAGGATCACAAACAAACTGTTAAGATGCCCACTAGCTGCTTCATTGTCCTGGCAGTCCACTGTAGCCTTTGTCTTTCAATACTAAATTATGTGATTGTCTATCAGTTAAATACACCTAGGGTGCGCGCGCTCTCTCTCTATATATATATTATTCATTCATTCATTTATAAATAAATAAATAAATAATAAAAAGGGTATGTTTCTCCCTCTTACTCCCATAGCTTCTGCAGATTCCCCTGCTGCTTCTGTTGACTCTGAGACGATAACTCTAAATAGTGGGACACTGCAGACCTTTGAGATCCTGCCAGTAAGTTCTACAGATTCCACACCTACCTGGTTTGATGTTTTGTGTTTTTCAGACTAAAGTTTGAGGAAAGGAGCATCTCAATGGTGTCCTTATGGCAACATAAAGTATTATAAAATGTGTGAGGTTCAGTTAGCAGGATATTACAGCATAAAATAACTGGAAGCTTTAAAATCATGCAAAACAACTTACTTTATGGTGTCACATTATCTGCATGCACCAGGGATGGGTAACTGGATCCAACCAGCCCTCCACTGGCCACTTTGGGCAGGCAAGTCAAACTTCAGAGAAAGAATCAGGAGCACTCTGAAAAGTAGGATTACCATCCCTATGGCTGGACGACTGGCCAGTCTCTTATGGAGCACCTGGTTTCTGCAGGGCTATTGGGATTCTCATGGGAGAGTGTTGGATCACTCTGGAGTTTGGTCTGGTCCAGAAAGGTGCTTCTTATGTTCTCAGTGCTTGGAATCATGAAACAAAAGATGTCTTAATGTTATGACTTAACATTAAAGGTAAAGGTACCCCTGCCCGTACGGGCCAGTCTTGACAGACTCTAGGGTTGTGCGCTCATCTCACTCTAGAGGCCGGGAGCCAGCGCTGTCTGCAGACACTTCCGGGTCACGTGGCCAGCGTGACAAGCTGCATCTGGCGAGCCAGCGCAGCACACGGAAACGCCGTTTACCTTCCCGCTGGCAAGCGGTCCCTGTTTATCTACTTGCACCCAGGGGTGCTTTCGAACTGCTAGGTTGGCAGGCGCTGGGACCGAACGACGGGAGCGCACCCCGCCGCGGGGATTCGAACCGCCGACCATGTGATCGGCAAGTCCTAGGCGCTGAGGTTTTACCCACAGCGCCACCCGCGTCCCCTGACTTAACATTAAGAGGTCCTAATTATGCACATCTTTCTTTTCGAAATGTAAAATGTATTAGTAGACCACTAAGATATTAGTTGTTGTTGTTTTAAAGGCCATACAAACCTGAAGTCCACCTGTCCCTGTGTAAGAAAAATGATGGTGCTCCCTCTTCTCCTCCTTTAAGAGAATGTATCTTATGCAGGAGTCTCAACCCCAGCTGTCTGACAAGATAATTCAATAGGAAATGGGCATCCTTCATACCTCTTATCCCAGCTAGCTGGGTTAACTGGTAGATGCCAATGGTCAAATTCCAGGCAGCCTGGCACATTTCAAAGCAAGGAGGGCCTTGCCTTTCTATGCAGTGGATGGAACACTTCCATTTCAGAGCCATGTAGTCTATTGAAGAGGGTTGGACTGGAACTCGGGAGACCAGGTTGGAATTCCTCCCTGACCATGAAGTCACTGGGTGCCCCAGGGATAGTCCCTGAACCAAGCCTATCTCACAGGATGGCTCTGAGGATAACATGGGTGACCGCAGGCACTGCCTTGTTCTCCAGGATATGGACATTCTCCTTGTGGGGAGAAAGGAAGGACATGGGGGGGGCAGTTGTCCTACATTTCTAGGGTTATTTCAGTTATGCTGCATTTAGGAACACAGTTTATGTTTTGAGTCTGACTTCCTCAGAGTCAATGTCCTTCATGAGTCAGTTGCAGAACACCCTCCCATTGATCTTCTTCCTTCTTCTCTTGAGTCTTTCCATCTGCAGCCCACGGGGACTCCAGGCACGTACTTACTCCAGACAAGCTCCTCCCAAGGCTTGCCTTTGACACTGACCACCAGCCCAACAGTGACCCTCACAGCTGCCACGGCACCAGCCTCACCAGACCAGATCATCGTCCACGCCTTATCTGTAGGTGTCTCGAAGGAGAAACTGGAGCAATAAAGGGCGGGGGGGGGCTTGGATTTGCTGCTAGTCAGCTGGAGCAGCTGTGCTGCATCAAACAAAACACCAGTGCAGAACAGTTTTGACTTGAATGTATTTTCTCCAGTGAAAATCCTCTGCAGTGTTAGTTGTGCTAGTTGTGACAAGGGACAATGATTTATGGGAAGTCCAATCTTAAAATGGTGCCCATCATACCTTGGGGTTCAGCTTGATGGGCTGTGGGAGGGGCATTGTGCACACAGGTTGCATTCAGCAGCGTCAGAGAGAGTTGTGGCTGAACGGACAGAGCCTCAGACCGACTCTTGGGGTGAGCTCTACAGCCTTTGGAGCAGCGATGGCCCCTCAGTATCTCTCAGGTGTCCCACCCAAACCGATGCCAGCGTGCCACTCCTGAGGTGCCTGGTTGATCCCAACCCTTCTCATCTATTTCTGAAGCTTTTCCTCTGACAGACCAGTCTCTCCCAAGGAAGTCAGGGCTGTGCCTTCCCCACCCTTCATGATCACAATAAATGCACAGTAGTAGGTGCTCATCTCTCAAATTTTGTTTATTGGTTTCTGGCGTTACTTCTCACTATTTTGTAAAATATAATGATCAAGGGGGGTGAGAAAAATCAATCAATATACATTGAAATAATAAGATTGGAACATTACTAAATTCGTGTTTTTAAAGCCCCAAATATGAACGTTTGTGATAAGGCAGGTTTATAAGAGCATAACATAGAAGCCTTTGAACCGCCTGCTGGTTCCAGCTAGTAGCTCCTCTCATCCCACATCCTGCTCTCACAGTGGCCACCCAAGATAAAGAGACTAGAAAGGGCTTTGGTCTCATTCAGCAAGGTTCTTCTTGGGTTTAAAAAGCTTATAATTGGGAGAGGGGAGGGAGTTACAAGGCCCAGAGCCAAAAGGCTGGAGCACATTGTAAAACTCCCACTGTTAGTGCAATTTGGCTAATAGAAAAAATGTAATGTAAAGCTTATTTGTTGAGTATTTGAACATACTTTTTCAGGAAAATAGAGAAGATGTTTTTTATGTGATTTAGCAAATAGTGAAGAATGGGTAATTTTGTGTGCAATGTTACAATGTATGTATAGAATAATTTAAAATAAAATGCATAGTTGGTCCCCTTTCACCATTGCTGAAGGGGCATAATGAAGTCAGTCACAACACTATGTGGCACTTATCAATTTTGTGGCCATTTCTCACAGCCAGAACACTTGCTGAACACCGGTGACAATGTCACGGTACAGTGCCATGCACCAAGTGTCATAATCCGCACTGTTGCAGCAGAAGAGATTTCTCCCTCCGTAACCCAGGCAGAACTTGCTGTTGATTCAGACATTCAGCCAGTTAATCTGGTGGACCCTCCAACGGCTCTGGAAGCAGACGCCTTTCCAGAGGACATCCATCAACCCAAGCTGGCTGTGGAAGAGCAGTCTGCATATAGCGAAGACGACGCCTCCAAATTTGGTGGCAGGAGTAGCAGTGAACTCATTGACAGGGTCATGGCGAGAGCCGGAGGAGAGATTTTGCCCACGGATATCAAGTGTGAAGAGGATTGTCGGTCTGACTTAGCTGGCACCTACGTTTCTGAGGTAAGGAAAGCAGTACTTAGCAGCATGAGGATTTGGCACATGGCTGGATCTGTAGCAGTTGTTTTTGAGGCTCAGCAAGTGCAACTTCATGCAATTCATCTTTGATATTTTAACCATGTTAAACAAACCTGCTTTGTGCTGGTACACTCATCTGAGAACTGACTGCAGCTTCCCGTGGAATGCGCACTCCATGGAAAACACCCAAGTTTGCAAATTGAGTTTGCGTGAAAGGGCCGCAAGAAACATTCAGAATTGCTTTTGGCCAATTTGTACAAGTTGCTTATGCCTTTCTCCGAGGGGAGATCACCTTAAGGTGGTGCATTCTTGGCTCCGGTGTGCCCTTTGGTGTTCCTCATTGCTTCAGACAAAAGTGAGAGAAGTGCCAAACGTTCAGTGATGAGAACATGTGTGAGAATGGTCATGAACACACATGATCCTGGTTCAAGTACATATGTGTAGGGAGCAGGGAATGAAATGTCAGCACCTCTGAGCAACTTGAGAAGTGGGATAATATAACTCTAGAATATGCTCTGTTCAGCCCTGCATCTGAGGTTAAAACGTCATCAAGTAGCAACATGGAGTGAGATGCCTGCCTGGGGAATATTGCTGGTTGAACTGGAATTGTGGTTTACATGGACCGATGGTCCAACTTCGTGTAAGGCAGCTCTTCAATGAATCCATTTCCTAACACTTGCTGGCGGTTAAAAGAAACCAGCAATTCTCCTGGTGGCTTGTGGCTGTTAAAACACTCAGAAGTAAACTAAACAAACCTGCCCTTGAAAGCTCTCTTTTCACTGGGGAAATGGCATTGGAGTGGGGAGAACAGGTCTCCTGTCCTCCACTGCCACTGTCCCAATCCCCCTCTCTCCCCCCTCCCCACCAACCCCTTTGCTTTCAGCTTCCATCTGCTTTAGTTTAGCTCTTACACCAATTTAAAAATGCATTGCAGATCATTGTGAGATAGGTGATGGATGCACTGGGAGGTCTTCAGTCTACTTTGTAAGTCAGTCCTCAGTCATCCTTCAAATAAATCTAGTAATTGCTCTGCCACAGTTCACAACTAAGAGACAAAGCATTTTGATGTTAAAAAATTGCCATCCTCCACCCACAATGGTTCATTCAAAGCAAGCAATTTTGCACAGCACTTCATTTATTTGCTATTGTGGACTTTTAAAAAAAAAAATGCATGTTTCTGTTCTGTAAACACTAGTTGAAAAATGCTGGTTTTCACACAGGATCTCAGTTCTCCAACGACAGAAGAACAAGTTGAGGCGTCTCCCATGGATGACACCGTCCTCATTGTACCTTCGCCTCATGGCTTTATCCAGACATCAGATGACATAGACAGCGAATCCGTTTTGCCCCTAACAACACTAACAGGTAACTTGTGAGGTTGACACAGCAGCCTATTTTTTAAAAAGTACAAATTTCCTGTGTGTGCCTCAATGCTGTTTCTGAGTGATTCTTGTGAGAAGCCCAATGTAACTGGACCAGTTTCCCATTATGGGAACAAGCCTGTCCAGCCCTCTGGATTGCATGCTGCCCTCTCTGACCATGTCATACAAGAGATTCTGAAATCTTCCAGGTTAGAACCAAGTGCATTTTCCCCATGTCTGGATGGGGGCGATTTTAACTTCTTCTAACTATTGCTAGTTGGAATAAACGAGGCTATCAAACCGTGGTTTGACTAGGATTCCTTACTAACCAGTTGTGGAGCTGTGGCTTTTTCCTCTGTGCTCATACAGCTGAGGATCTGTGCTTAGTTCTAAAGCAGCTTTCCATCATTCCCAGGGAGGGAGAAAGGAAAGAGAGCCCAAGCCCCAAGCTTCTTCCTGTGATACTCAGCTAGCTTACAAAGAGCAGTGGGATCACACTTGCAATGGCAGTCGTGCTTTGAGCAAAACATTTCTGGAAAGTCACAAGGGGACTCTCCAGAGCCACTGTTACCGCAGTACAGGAAACTAAGACTATATTGATGTGAATAAAGCAACAAAAAGAATTATGCTGAAACCTCGCTGCACATGCCAGATTCAGATCCCCAAACAGCCAGAGTTTGTCTACTTCTTTACTTGTGCTTTGCTGGTCGGCCACATCCATTTTGGGGCAGAAACCAGGGTGGGAGGCAGGAGAGATCACAGAAATGCTCCCCATGGGAATGAATAGAATGGAATGAATGGAAATTGTTTTGCAAATGCTCACATAATTAATGATTTCCAGGGAACACATAGTGTTCGGTAAGCAGGACCTGCATGTACAGTGGTATCTTAGTTTACGAACTCAATCCATTCCAGAAGTCCATTCTTAAACCAAAGCGTTCTTAAACCAAGGCGTGCTTTCCCATAGCAGCGGGGGACTCAATTTACAAATGGAACACACTCAACAGGAAGTGGAACATGTTGTTATTCCAGGGCAAAGTTCACAAACCAAAACACCTACTGCTGGGTTTTCAGCATTCTTCATAAACTAAGCTGTTCTTAAACCAAGGTACCACTGTGTCTCTTTTAGAATGTTTGTTTTTCACAACCATTTTTTCATTACAGATCCTATATTGCAACACCATGGAGAGAACTCCCATATCATTGGCTCCTCTTTGGATAGCCCTGGTTCTGAAGACTCCAAGGATGTTGAAGATTTAGTGAGCTGCCACTGAGCACATCCCACAGTGCTGCAAAAAATAAAAAGAACTGAGTGCTGAACCACCTTTTCCAAAGAAAGAAAAGCATTTGCTGAAACAGCTTCAGCCCACCTTTCTGGGCAAAGAAGAGGTTTAAAGAAGTTGTGGCCGCAGCTGATCAAAGGTTTTTTGCTTCTTAGGTTGTTCCTCTTGAGACTGGAACCAGATTCTGATAAGAGGAGAGTTGGATGCTCTAGGTTAATAGTGCAGTAACAAGCAAGTCTTGCAAGCAAAGATAGCAGCTCTTGAGCATCAACAGGACAAAATGTAGCCTCAGTGCAGGAACTACAGGAAACAAGGAGTGGCAGGAGAGTTCTATTTTTCCAGTCCTTTACTGTTACTTCTAGTGCATTTCATATGGAAACACTACTAGTCTGAGAATACTAGACTTTAGGAGGTTACAAAAGAATTATCTGTTGCTGGCGATGGATGAAGTAGCCCCAGAATGATCAAATGCACCGAATCCGTTCCCCACAAGTATAGGAGAAAAGGACGTCTGAGACTGTTTACTCCCACCCTGACCCCTGCAATAAACTTAAATCCCTTTCAGTGCTTATTCTGAACTCTGCTATAGAAGCCAAAACCACCTTCACAATTGAATTCATCACCGCAAGTGTGGGAGGTCAGTGCTGTCTGGACTATCCTGTCACACAAGTTCAGTGATGGCTGCTGGGTTTTTATTCCTGCCCCCATGCGAGGGCTGTAAAAGGAGACACTAAGTGGAGCTTAGAGTCCAACCTGGGTAGGAAACATGACTCAACACTACAAAGATATGTAGAAAAACAATATTTATTGCTGTAATTAGCTTCCTCAGAAGTCGGTTTGTCTTTAGTCTGTGACTTTCTCTGTTCATGTGAAAAATGACAGTAGTTTACAAAACAGTTGGTTGCTTAGGGAGCAATAACTGTTCAATTTAATACAAACAATAACCTATTTGTCTTCTGTAACAGTAGGATGCCTTTTTATTTATACTGTAGTACAGACATTTGCAGTGCTGCAGTTTTTGTACAGTGTAATAAAAAAATGCATTTTTCCCTGCAAGGAAAAAATTTCGTGCCATTCTGAAAAATGTGTAGAGTTGGAATGTTCATTAAGTGCACTGGTAGCTGTTTATCCCTCCCCCAAAAAACAAAGCTGTCATGGCAGATGGCAAACGCAAGTCCCCATTTGATGCTTGCTCCGATGAAGCCTTCGCCTGGGGTAGTAATCCATTCCGAAAGCATTTCCTACAGTGTTGCCCAGAACCCACTTGATGCATCCTTAGGCTATGCCCTCAAAGAGTCATTTCCCCACTTCATGGAAGTAGAGATTGGCACATATACACAACATAATGATTGAAAACAAGATATAGTAAATTAGATTCCTAAATTTGGGCTCAAGGTCTCCTTGTCGATACCAGTAGATCTGAGGAGAGGAAAAAAACTAGTTAGATGAGTATTTCAAGCAGACACCACTAAAGGTTAAGACACTCCTTCACCTACAAATTCTATGGCAAAGCAAGTACCATGTTGTACTAGGCTCATTTTAGTAAAAACAGGCAGTCATTTTTATTTTTCCAAAAGACGCTGCTCCTTCCACGTAAATTAAAACATCAAGTATGGGAGCAGATACCGGCAGATGCTAATTTGCTTCTCCAATGGGATTTAGATCATGATATTCAACACACAAAATAGGTCACTCCCCCCCCCCCAGTGTTATCCATCACTGTACAATTTATGCATCAATCCAGGGCAGTTCTTCTCATTTCCATGGGAGTTTGTAGACAACTTTCTAATGAATTAGGCCCTTAAAAGAACCCCTCCCCATTCCAAACACCCAACCCATAGACATGTTCAACATTTCCTAAAACAACTGCTTTTTCTCCCTACGGAAAGAAGTAAACTTCCATTGTGGCTCAGATGCCACGTTGCTTAGCCATGCATATACCAAAGAGGAATCCACAAACTACTGTGCATCTCCCTTGTGTGGCTTCTTGGGCTTTGGGCTGCTGCTCTCCCCTCCCCCCAGTTTGAGCAGGTCCATTTAGTCTTAGCATAGCAAGTGTCACAATACTTACAAGAATGCCAGCCGAAACACTACACAAGGAGATGCAGAAAGCAAAAAATATATTCACCGGTTTTGGAGGTAGTTGAGGAAAGACAAAAGCACTGATTAGAGTGACCTAGAGGAAAGAATGGGAGGGCACAGCTATTACTTCTCACACCGAATATGAAACACAGTTCTGATGCATTGCTTAGCGAGGAATTCCTATTACATTTCCATGCAATGCAGCCCAACCCATCTCACGCCACTGTTTAAACAGCATCACACCAGTTATAGTCAGGAACTGCCCCTGTTCCTTTGAAGAGGACCGTGGTGGTGCTCCATTTATTTCCATGTAAATTTGCATGCCATCCTTCTCCGCAAAGGCTTACAAGCAGATGACAAAAAAACTTAATGCTGCTTTCCAATGTCTACACAAACGACTGGTCAAGGCTTAATTATGTTGGTCATTTGGTTAAAATGGGAGTGGGGGGGGGGGGAGATCCAGCCTCTGCCCCCGTTCCTTCAGAGGGCAATTCTTACTCCAAGTAGGCAACAACATGAGTGCTGGTTTACAAGCCAGGCAAATGCTGACTGGTTCAGCAGCTTGCAGAGTTTTTGAGCAAGGCTTCTACAACAGGGAGCTCCTTTCCGTTCATTCCTCAACGGGGGGCAGGAGAACCTCACCAGCTCAGCAAACTTTAGCTGGTGTTGCCAGACCACACACACAACAGGATTTCTCCACTTCAGACCGTCAAGCCCCAGCTGCACGCTGGATTCCTTGGAAATTCAGGGTGTCTGTGTTGCAGTTAGCACACTGCCTTTGCCTGACCATCTGGCTCACTTAAGGAACGCAGAAATTGGAAGCCCACCAAGGGTTGTGGCTGCAGTGCATTTGTGCCACACCAAATAACATTTTCATGCTTTGACTATTTTTAAGGGCACATACTTGAAGCAAGTAATTCCACTGGCTCAGGAAGGGAACACTCATTTGGACAGTTCATAGGTTTTGGTTGTAAAAGACTAACATTTATGTGGACATCTCTTTTGTACCAATGCTAAAACATCTTTTTACATGGGTCTTAGCAAATACTGAAAGGGTGTTACAGTGATGCTTAAGTTACGAGGAGCTTTGAAATATATAACTAAAATGAGCAAGGGGTGGGAACATCTTCCCTTGAGGCAAAGCCCAGGCATATGGGGTTGTTTATTTTATGGAGTTGAGATGAGAGCTGACAAAGTTTTATGACAGGTCATGATGCAAAGAGAAATTTCCCTCTCGAGATCTTGGTTGAGAAGCCATAGAGCGCATGCTTCCCATCAGCATGTCAAGTTAAAAGGCTCCGAAGCAGCAGGGCTGGGGGAAAGCTGGCTAGGAGCTTCTGAAAGCCAGGAGGCAAAGACCCCTTCTTCCAGCTGGGAAATCTGCTTGGGACTAAAATGTCTTTCAACTGTTTCCAGAAAGTGCAGGAAGTGGGCACTTGTTCTATCTCAACAGGTATGATTATTCCACAGAACAGGGGCAGCCATGCTGAAAGCTCTGCCCTGGGATAGTGCAAAATGGGCTGCTGAGACCTTTGGGACTTGTAGGAGAAACATTCCCGTAGAAGGCAGCCTCTCAAGTCACTTGGTTCTGAGCTGTATGGGGCTTCCTATGTTGGCACCAACACCTTGAATGGGACCCAGTAGCAGATTGGCAGCTAGCGCTAATCCTGCAAGCGAGGCGTCCTGTGCTGGCGTAGTTTGCCCCCACAAGCAAGTTAGCCGCTGCCTTTTGCACCACCTGCAGCCTTCGACCCAGCCCCAAGGGAAGCCCCACAGGCAGTGCACTGCAGTAGCACAACTGTGAGGTCATCCATGCATGGACAACTGTGATCGAACTGTCCTTATCCAGGAACAGCCACCACCGTCTTAGCAACCAAAGCTGGCGAAAGACACTCCCAGCCCCTGAGGACACCTGCATCTCTAATGGCAGAGGGATCCAGGCAGATGAGTTCATTTAGAAATAAAACCCAATGAGGACCATTCAGCAAGAAACCTCTAAGCCAGGGATGTCATGACTTGGTTTGGGGACCTGCTCCCATCTACTATCAAACTGAACAGGACTTACTTCTGCATAGGATTGTGCTGTAAGTTTGCCATACTGATTTGAATACTTACTATGAGCAGCAATGATGTGACGCTGCCAACAGCTAAATTGATTATTCTATCCTGGAAGAAGGAAGAACACAGTGTTAGCTGTAGCATTCTGACATTTCTATTAAAGCCTTATTCTAAACAGCTGACATCTGATGCTAATTGTGCTAGATTTGCATTCAATGCCCAGGTTTTGATCTTAAGAATTTTAAGGCATAGCAGAGGTAGATGCAATAAAGATTTAAAAATAGAGTGGAAAGACTATAGTCTTCAAAAGTGAATTCTCCCTTTAGTAAAGGCAGCTCACACCTTCAGGTGCCAACCACCCATGTTTACACCTGTGTAAAGCAGCCATTTGTTAACCGCCTGGGCAAATCCCCACGCCAAATATGTTTAGCATTGAAAACTGGCTACCTTTTTGGTTTGCTTAATTCCAGAAAAACAGGCACCGTTTAAATAAACTTTGAGAGCTTATTTTGCACGTCCAACTGGTTGGCAGTTGAATCCACATATTATTACATCATTATAATTATTAAGCATTACCTGACATTTTCAGAAGGTAAAATTAAAATTATTTGATTTCCCAAAAGCAGTTTATGTGCTTCTTCATCAAAATGTAGATTTACCAAGCTAAATAACTGTCCGATCACAAAAATAATAGCAGCTTTGAATGGCACAAACCCCAAAACATTTTTATGACCCCTCGCTGAAGCAATCTGCAAAAGCTAAGCTTTACCTCCTAAAATGATACACACGCCTGACTGCCTGAGCTCACAACTCCACAACTAGTACAAACAGCAGAAGGAAACCTTTTGCCCGGCCCCAGCTTGCCCTGGCCAAAGGGACCTTCTGTGTGGCTGGAGACTTGGGGAAGAGAAAAGCAACCATCCTGGGTTATGAACAGTTCAAGAAGAACCATCTCACCTGTCAGCGACATTGGAAATGGCCTGGTGCCTTCAGCATTCACACAGATGCTTGTAAAATGGGTGTAGACGGGAGGCCAGGATTTCTTTATTCACACATATGATTTAACTTTTTAAAAATCTGGGGGGAAGAGACTGACACTTGAAGAAGGGCAACCCAAGTAACCAACTGAGGCTTTTTAAAAACAGTTTGCCCAAAGGCAGGGCAAACGAAGTAATTCACCCCAAGATAAGAGACCACGGACAACTGGAGTATTCCCTTGTAAAATAGGGAAAACTGTAATGTTTGCTGTTTGCATATTTGTTCTTGAGGCAAAATATCACCAAGACCATTTTGGGGTTGGGGGGGCATTGCATCCCCAAACTGCTCTTCCAATTCCTGCCCTCCTCCCTAGTCGGTGACAGACCCTGAAACCAAAGTACCGTATTTTTTGCTCTATAAGACTCACTTTTTCCCTCCTAAAAAGTAAGGGGAAATGTGTGTGCGTCTTATGGAGCGAATGCAGGCTGCGCAGCTATCCCAGAAGCCAGAACAGCAAGAGCGATTGCTGCTTTCACTGCGCAGTGATCCCTCTTGCTGTTCTGGCTTCTGAGATTCAGAATATTTTTTTTCTTGTTTTCCTCCTCCAAAAACTAGATGCGTCTTGTGGTCTGGTGCGTCTTATAGAGCGAAAAATACGGTATTTTTATGGGGGGTGGGGTAGGCAGGGTGACAAATACAAAAAGCAAGCAAGCAAAGGTGAGGCAGAGGGGGGAGAATGAGGAATACCTCGCTTTGAGGAAAATAAGTCAAGTAATGCAAACAGAAGCAAGCTGGCCTGCCCAGCTGTAATCAGGGCCCAGAACAGGATTAGGATCAGTTGTTGTCATAGCATTAAATGGGATCTGGCAGCCTCTGCAGGGAATTAGCAGTTAACACTCGCTGCCTGTCCAAAACTACTCCATGCAGCGTCCCAAAGAAAGTGGGATCGTTCCTTAGCATT